TCTGGTAACTATCGTTGGGGTCCTTCAGACACAGAGTTGACACCCAATTGTGGTCAGAGGGTGAAATTAAAGCTAACTCAGGGACAGGCCGTTCCCTGCCGTTTCTCTCCTCCCTTTTCTCTGCCACCCTTATTTTTCGACACAGCAACCTGTGGCCCATTGATTTTAGATGTGCACGCTGGTTAGACGAAAGCCTTTCCCACTCCGTCGACAACTACTTCAAATAGTCAAAAACCAGCTGCTTTGTGCCTTCACCTTCTCAGGCGACATAGGCCCTTTCGATGGATGCGTTTGCGGACAAGTTAGACTTTCACAGAGGCATTTGCAAAGGGCTTCATCATGGGGTAGCAGGCCGACTGTTCCTACTATCGTATCACGTAGCTGTTTCGAATATGAACTTCGTAAGAAGTAGGTTGTTGCCAGAAAAGTAGTGAGCGCTGCCCCGCCAGGCAAAAAGAGACGGTTCCTGCCGAAAACAGGCTTCGTCTACCCAAAGTCACATTCACGTCAACAAAAGAGGAGGCTTGCGTTCCAGAAGGCACACAAAGACTTCGAGGAACCGCAGTGTTCGTGAATATGGATGTGCCCCTTGCCTATCGAACCAAGAGGCGAGAAACATAAGGAAGACCAAAACCCGGTTTGGTGGCAGTAGAGAGAGATCCAAAAGTGGTGGGTTTTCGCGTTGTAGGGCGCTGGCAATAGATGATGTCGCTAATAGGATGTATAGGATGAAAACTCACTCGAGTGGCTTCATTGCCTCGTATAAAACTAAACGTATGCTCATAAGCGAGTGGGCCGAGCTCTGTAATGTAATCGGCATGGAAGATCCTTATGTCATTAACGCTTCGGAAATTCAGCTCTCTTCCGGGATCAGTGAAACACTTATGGGGATTTTTTCTTTTTCAAAGTGAAGAGTTAGGATGCAGAGTCGGCTGCGTAACCTTTTGCAGTAAGAACACTATGACTTCAAGAGCCATAAAAAAGTTGGACAAGAAATTCGGACATGTGAAATGCTGCGTCGTCGAGCAAAACGTAGTGACAAGATGTTGACCTAATCGTAGCATATAGAATTCCTGAATGTTAGACGGAAGGCTTCCTCCTGGATGAGCCGACCTCCGGAAAGACAACTGCCAGTACTTAGTTGTGGGAGACCTCAACGCCCCAAGGGTCGACTGAGATAGGCTAATGGCGGAAGTATCACGCAATTTATTTCTCAAAGGTTAGTGGAAACATCCATCTTTTTCGCCGTCTTACGGCATGTTTGGGCAACAGCCAGACGTGGTCATCAACACGCTCCATCGGTTCCAGATTTAGCATTCTTGCGCGCAGATCATGCTGTGATCGTCTTCAGATTCACAGCATCCGTCTTGTGCGGGGCCGATCCCTGGCCGGGCCTAACTTACGGAAAGGGAATGTGATAGCATCTTAGAGGTACTGGACAGCCAATCTATAAGCCTCGTTCGAGACTGCATGGTGCTCTCTCAAACAGTCACGTGCATGTGCGACTCAAACGTTCATTCATGGACTGTTCCCACAGAGACGAAAACGTTACCCTCCTCGGATAAACCGCGGCATTCGAATCTCAATGCGACACAAGAAAATGTTTTGCCGCCTTGCCACCAACCTCGGTAATGCTTAACTGGTGAAGCGTTGCATTGCTGCTGCCTGCCCGTCTTGGCTATGCTTTAGGGCACGTCTTGCCCAAGCTGCACTGCAACACCCGAGGAGGTTATTTTCTCATATGAACTAAAAGAATACGACTTATCGAGATGCACCCATCCTAATCAGACGGACGGAAAATGGGCGTTTAATTGAAGACGATGAAGAAGAAGCAGAAGTTACAGAAGGATAGTTTCCTGAGGTCTTTACACAGGAATCTTCTGCGGACTCTATTTCGCCAGCAGGAGCACTGATATCAAGTAGGATAAACTCTGTGGATATCGGTCGCAACGATGAATTCCGGACATCAGGCACTCCCGGTGTGCAAAAATCAGCTAGACCGGATGAGCTGCAACCAAGGCTGCTGGAAGAACTTACACTTCATGCACCCGGCTAGCTGACTACCACATTTAGACAGTCCCTGGGTGAAGGCACATCTCCGTACTATTGGAAGGCCCCATGGTCACACCGGCCTACAGAGCAGGCTCCAGACATTACCCATCAAACTGCAGACAGGAAGTTTGACTAGCACCGTGGCGAAAATCCTAGAAAGAGTAATGAAGGAGGCCATTGCAGTTCACTCACAGGGCAACACCCTATTGTCTTGTTCGCAGCATGGCTTCCTCAATAAATTCTCTTGCTTGCCGAACGTTCTCACAGGCAGGGAAAGCTGGATCAAGTCTATGGATAGTAGGAAGCCTGCAGAGGTAATTTTCATGGACTTTAGTTGGGTGTCCCGTGAGGTAACTCATTCGTGTTTGCTTAGGAAACCGGAAAGTTTCGGAACCACTGGAAATTCACTTGCATAGATAGGGGAGTTCCTTACCCGTAGAAGAAAAAGGGTAAGGATTGGTTCCCAACTCCCCTCTTGGAAATTGGTAGGGTGAATCATCACGGGGCGCGGTGCCAGGTGACCCGCTGGTTTTCCTACAAGCGAATGAGCCGGTGAACATTACGAAATCCCCTTTGGCTACCCATGCTGATGATGTAAAAATCTGGCGTGAAATTGCGGATGTTGAGGATGTACGTTCACCAGTTAGTTCATCCAACCAAAGGAGTGGCTGATGCCTGTGGCTGCATGTAAATGCGTGAGCATGGAAGTGGTGCAGACAGATGGCAAAACGTCGTTAAGAATAGAGCATGAGAGAGAAGGTATGAAGATCCGAACTGACCCGTTTACAGTTAAAATTTGTAAACTGTGGAACTCCCTTCCTTCAGCATCAATCACAGATCCATCCCCTGACACTTTCAAAGGGAGGTTAGATGCACGTTTAGAGACCTGTGGTATCGGTGGGCTGTACTCAAGAAGCTTTCCGCCACCTACAGATCAGTAGGAGTAATACCACATTGAAACTGGACTAATTAACGATCGATTATCTCTATCGTTTCAGTTTTTTTGAACCGGAAAAACGACCGCGGCCATTCGAAACCCAGAACGGGTTCCAATAATACAAACGTGGAACCCAAGGACCTATCGTTCACTAATTCTGCAACATGAAGTTTGAAAGCCACTTCTTGGAATCCTTTGCGGTACGATTAGATCTCCCTTGTGAGTGCAGCTGGATAAAGATAAGATTTGCACCTCCTTAAGCCGATCCTCGCAGGTCATTCGAGCCATCGCAGGGACTATACGAAAGGTTGCCTTCTGAACTCTTCCCAGAGTGCCGCAGTTGCTTTTCAGACAGGGATTCGCCGCCTGTGTACAGTTTTCCGGTTTCGACCTAACTGAGGATGTATATAAGATGGTGAACACATCACCACCTATTTTCGTAAGCATTCTATGTGACGACGAGAGTTTCCTAAAACCCTGAGCTGTGACCAGATGACAGTGTGCCACAGCTTTCAGGTCAAAACTCACTTCAACTCCTAGGCCACTATGGGTCAGTAATACGGGTAGCGTGGTCCCACTAAAACTTCTAGCCTCTTGTTGCAGAATTAGTGAACGATAGGTCCTTGGGTTCCACGTTTGTATTATTGGAACCCGTTCTGGGTTTCGAATGGCCGCGGTCGTTTTTCCGGTTCAAAAAACTGAAACGATAGAGATAATCGATCGTTAATTAGTCCAGTTTCAATGTGGTATTACTCCTACTGATCTGTAGGTGGCGGAAAGCTTCTTGAGTACAGCCCACCGATACCACAGGTCTCTAAACGTGCATCTAACCTCCCTTTGAAAGTGTCAGGGGATGGATCTGTGATTGATGCTGAAGGAAGGGAGTTCCACAGTTTACAAATTTTAACTGTAAACGGGTCAGTTTGGATCTTTGTGCCTGATCTACTGGTCAGTCTCTTCCTGCCTCGTAGGTCAGGACACCTCAGGGAATGCAAATGCAGAGGATGGACACAGTCTCTGAAGGGTGTTGGTCCTATCGTCGAGTACTCAACTCCTAAGACCCACCCACAAAAGAGGCGATGTTCAACATCCAGTATCCAATATTGGCAGTGGGAGCGTAGAAAACTGATAGTTTTGATCTCTCGGGTGTAGTTTTTAGGGCCCGGTTGGAGTTGTTTGGTTCACTCCTGCAGTGGACGGGGAAATCCTCTCTGCTTTCTTGCTTTTAGCCTCGACGAGGGGGATGTTTTGTGGTTTAGTAGGTTGTAATTTGTAGAGTGATCGGGGAGCTACGGGTTGCTCGGAAGGTTAGGGGACTGTCACGACTCCTGTCCATGTAGGCGCCTGAAAGAGAATGGTAAGGAATGAAAAGAATAAAGAACAAAAGGGAACAAAGGAAGAGAAAAAGGAAAACAAGGAAAGAAAAAGAAAACGAAGGGGGAAGGGGGAGAAATAAAAGAGACAGAAAAGAGTGTGGGAATTGCTCGAATGGTAAAAATAGATAGGCTGGGTCTATTTCCTGGAAAAGAATTAGGTAATATGGGTGCATTAAGAAGCCAGATAGTGAGCGTTAGGTAAGAGGCAGATGGAGGTGGGGCAGTGAGGTTGATGACTCCCTGAGTACGTCCATAGTAGACCATGCAAGGTGACATAACTGCCCAACTGGCTCTTGAATGAGTCGACTGAGGGAGCTATAACGATATGCCACGGTGGGGTGTTCCATAGAGCGCATACGCTCAGGGAGAAACATTCGGACCTGAGTATGGCTCTCTGGTGTGTTATCTTGGCGGATTTTCTGTGTGAAGACCGCTGTGTTGCAAGCGAAATTGATTTTTTACGTGGTTTGCCTGATGGGCGATCTTGTAGGCCATAATCAAGTCACCCCTCTTCCTACGATGTGTGCGTCATCACTTGGCCCATTCAGAAGAGAGATGGACAAACAAAGAGATCTACTGGAGAAAGGATTTATATAGACTCACAGCCTTCTATCCTTAAACAACAAACCTTATAACGGAGTTGCATTGAAGGTATTGATCGTCCGGAGGTGAATGTTTTGACTTTTGTGGAACATTCTGAAGTTTTTCGACTTTTGTGGGTATCATTTTGTGTAAGTGAGTAGTTTTCCAGTTTCGTTTGTGTTGTTAGAAACCTTGCTTCATTTGGGCTGTTTCTTGATTATATTGATGCATGAAGGAGTTAAGAAATACCCTGAATTCACAAAATTGTCTAGTACAAATAATTGTAATCAGTTAAAACCTTGTATTTGACTTTCTGTAAGAATTAGAATAAGTAGAGACAATAAAAGAGACTGAAATCTACTTTTAATCTAAGTCGGTGGCTGTTAAATCACGCTCATACTAATATATAATGTGCAACATCAGCTAGAAAATATTCTGTCCTAATCCAGTCACTCCAAACCAATAGTGTATCGAACTTATCGTAGTACAAAAGTTAATTTTTTGATATTTTTTGGCAAAATTATTTTAAAGTGGGTAATAATAACGTATGTTCCTGTAGGTACATTTTCTACCACAAGTGCCGTTGTCGCAAATATGTTCATGTGATATATGAGACACGATAACACTAAAATATTAGACTGTTCGTGTAAATAATGTTTTTCAGAGGAATCCCTTTTTTCTTTCGTTGACTTAACGCAGTGTGATCGTCAAAACTTTATATGGTTTCAGTATGACTTTAATACACTTGGGAGCTGAGTAAGGTGTCCTTTTGGTGGTCTACTTGTATGTAACTGCTAAATTGTTTTAATCTTTTTATAACTCGTGGGCAACACTAGAAGCACCTATAGGAACTTGGTTGTTTTTTTCACAACTTAATGCAAAACTGAAGGGAGATTTCGGTGGATATAGTTGATTGACGATGTATCGAAACCTATGCGGTTTTTGAATGATTCTTACTGCCGTAATGTCAGATCATGCACGATAAAAATATTCATCCTTTTGACCCAATAACGTTCAACAATGTAAACTGCAATATTCACGTAAACAAGCCTTCAAACGGCTCCAGATCATCTTCCCATAATACGTATGAACCCATGCAGGAGGATTTGCGAATTAGTGCTTAGGATATAAAAGTAGATATCATGGTTAGAAAGTTGAGCACTAAGTTTAGATCCACAGACTTATGAGTGCAAAAATCGAATATCAACGCAAAGCAGCAAGCCAGCGGTGAGAAGTCTTATTTGCAGCACCGGTGCTGAAAAAATGATTCGACTGTGGCTTACACACTTTCTGATGATGTCCTCTGGGGCGGACAGTTTTAGAGAAGATGAAAACATAAGATGAGTCTGCTCATGAGTTACATAATGTTATATCACCCCTCATCTACGATAAAACAGCAGAGAAATACCTAGTCGATCTAGTCTTTCTTAGCAATAGAGGTTGGAGAGCCGTTTGACCATCTTAGTTCTTACTCTAGATCAACTCTGCGTCAGCTTTATATTCTGAACATGAGCTGACTCCTTCCTTTCCATACTCTCATTGATATCGTTTATCTGGATAGTCCAACAAAATCAACGTAGAACCTCGTACAGAAGTTCATCGGTGCAGCTTACCACACTTCATAGTAGCATGCAAAGAACAGGTGGTTAGGAAATGACTGATATCAAGGTAAACAAAGGTGTATGAGAGGAGAAGGAATTTGAAGATAAATATTAGCGAAATCATTCAAGTTTTAAGAGAAATCAAGGAGTGAATATACCTGAATCACTTTGACCGATTTTCAGCCATGTTACCAAGAGTCACCAACCATTGATTCGTATGGTCTTGGGGACTCCAAACAGGTAGCCTACACGTCTCAGTTCAACAGTCAGGGACTTCGTGGATTGGTGCCATGCCTTGATCTGGGCACATTGAGATTTTATCTAATTTAACCCAAATTCTCTTAGGATTACACGTCAAGTCGGACGGTGGCTTGGCCTACGCAACACATGTCCATCCCGCCTCAGTCTCTGAGTGCTCACAACCTCATCGGTCGACTTTCCTTCATTGCACCTACCTTTCGCCTAACCATAACTTTGCTAACATAGTAATCCCGCCATACACCAGCAATGTTACAAAGACGCTTATGGTCAAAAACCCCGTATTCTCTTCATGTCTTCTACTTTTAACGGCCATGTCAGGTGTATAACGGGACATAAAGCACTGCAAAGCAGTATAGTCATCCTTTAACAGGTAGCCGAATATATCGCCAGTTGGCAAATGCTAAACGGGCCTTCTGTATCCGTGTTGAGGTTTCGTCAGCGACCAGGCTGTTCAGGCTGATACGACTCCCTAAGTAAGTGAAGTTGTAGACACATTTTACCACTCCACTCTCTGTCATTAAACTAGGAGTAGTTGGGAGCCAGTCGTGTAGCATCATCTTACATTTGTCAGGTGCGGGACGCATGCCATATGTACCCAGATTTCCGCTCAACGCATTCAGAAGGCCCTGAATCTTGTCAGCGTCTTCACCTTGCAGGAAAATTTTGTCTGTGTACTCCAACGCAACCAGATGACCTGCAGCGAGTGTAGAGTCAGACATATCTAAGGTTACGTCCATTAGTGCATATATCGCAAAATCAAACGCCAAAAGTGGGCTTCTCTAGCAGTTACTACTGGTTGGTGTCAGTTCAGATGAGTACTCTCCATAATCCCCTACTCGGTTGCGTAAAATACTTGCTCTGTACTCCTTTTACAGTCAAGCATTGCCAAAACAGCTCATGATCGACAGAGTTTAATGCTACATTCAGGTCAAGAAATATGGCAGATGTCGGCCACCGGTTAATATGCTTGTGTTTCAGAACCTGTCGAAAGTCTGATCGATGCACCTTCATTCAGGTCTTAAACCGTCCTGATTTTCTCGAGTTAGATGTTCTCGAGCTCCGGTTAGGCATCGAATAACTACGAACTTAAAGAATTTGGACACGATTCTAAATGAACTGATTCCCCCATGGTTGTCACAAAAAAACTTCTTATAAACTAAGGTGATCAGTGAAGTAGACCAGTTCGATGGATTACCTGTGATTTCTATACACTACCTAGTAACTCTGTTACTCTAACCAGTGATTTTTTTACCTCCATCTTTAAAAACGTGTGGTCGCAAACCATCAGGTCTGGCTACTTTGTATCTTTTCAGGCTTAAAAAAGGTGTCTCAACTTCGAGGAGAGTTTAGAGACCGACATCTTTTTCCCGTTCAGGTTCAGGCTGGATGCTGGGCAACTTAAATGTCGGTGTGGACCAGTTGATCAATCAATCATTATCAACATAGGACCAGGCATTACTGCGTAACGGCCCGAGTTGCCACACCTCACGTCAGTTCATCAAGTAGAAAGGTAGTGAGGTGAAGGATGAAGATAAATGAATGCAGTCAAAAGAAATATAAAGTACGAGAAGAAAGAAAAGAGGAGTGACAAAATGGTGAGATTCGGTATAGCGTTGTTAAGATGAGGACAATGTGTGTATACATCTGCGCCACTGACATCGGTTCTGAGCCATATCACCTAGGGTCTCCAACCACTGGTTCCTCTTGTCCCGCCGACCCCAACTACTTAGTCTGTATCGTCCTACATGGCTTAAACCAACAGCCAGAGACTTCATACATTGGTGCCATGTTTTAGTCTGGCCACCTCGAGCCTTTTTCCAGCCTGAACCCACCTCAGTCAACATTGTGTGACTAGGCAATCGGTGACTAGGCATACGTAGTACGTGTTTCAACCATCTCAGTCGATGAAGGTTCATAACCTCGTCGACTGACTTACCTCTTCTCCCTAAAACTCTACACCTGACTTCTGCATTACTCACATGGTGACACCACGGAATACGGCGTTTACTACGAAGGCAACGGTGGTCAAACACCTGAAGCCAGTTGAGCTGTACTTCAAAGTGTTACGCCCAACTTTCTCGCCTTCTTTTCTGAGAGGTAATCAACGCCCATCCTTTTCGGTGGTTTCTGTTACGATACAACGCTCCGAGACAATACGATTAACGATAGAACAATGTCCTCTCAACTCAATATTCCGCTGACTCCAGAAGATGGGATGGAAAGTTTATCTACTCCAACCGAATAATAACAGGTGGAAACTCAGTTGTTTACATATCCTTAGATGGCCCTGGCCAGAGAAAAATAAAATCGCATATTCAAAATGTAAAATGGACCAGTCAGTGTTTAGTATCCTGAACTGCGGTAAAAATAAGCCACATAGCATGGCGCCAAAATAGAACTTAAACTTTACAATGATAATATAATCATATTATAAGTTAGTTTTCTTAGGGATTAGCCATCCTTAACAGTTTCACTAACCATCGTCTTCTGGTTAGTGTCTTTACTAAGCCTAAATAGTTGCTGGGTGTTACTTGATACCGATGCCTTCTCGATTGATTTCGCCACCCACTACTACTCGAGAACATCGCGAAGACCCTTGGTCAGTTCACGTTTAAGTTGCTTTCGCTCTCCATTGTAGTCAGAGCCGGCTGGAATGGGTTTTCTTGCATCAGTCAATTCGGATGATGTTACGAAAATCCAATGACGTTTCATAACCTTCGGGTGTAGGTTATCAACTGTCGTTACCGTTGTTTCTACAGCGGACTGAATATCATGTAAGGTTTCCTCAGGATGAGCACTTCTCTCACTTTCAAATAGATGCTTAGCTATCTCCTCCCTAAATGTGTACTTGACGTTTTCATTTTCCAATCAACTACACACAGGTTAAACTGCCGGGTGTTTTCTACAACCAGTAGGGTGCAGATATTCACGTACCCGTACTTACGCCTGATCGGAGTTCAAACAAGTACTCCAGAAAGTGACAATCCCTTATCGATCCTCCTCAACAATGGGTTATAGCAATATTATCTGTATGTGTCCATCATTGGTTTGATATCGGCGGACACCATGAGACAGTGTCTTTCCTTATGTGTGGAGTTAGTGCTAACCGGAAACAATTGATTTTTAGTGCAAAACTACAAGAGAGGATCACTGTTGTCTGTTTGTTGGTGTGGTATACCATAGATACCTCGAAGACGTCTTTCCCATGAGATCATCTTCCCTATTCGATCGTTAAATTCGCTTGCTATTATGACTTTACCTGAACCGCTTGCTTTATGAAAAAAGTAAGAGCTTTTAATGGAATTCATCATTTGCATCATCCGAAGTACAATCGGTGATCACGTAGATTATCAATATGTTAAGTAAGAAATTCAAGACATCCCCACCAAAGTTCTGAACTATCTCTCATAGTGACGAAAGAGTTAGAAAACTTATGGCAAGCATGATCTTACAATTAGCTGGTGTTTTGAAGTCATGAATAGTTTTTATACCAAAGTCTTCGTATTCAGTCACTTTGAGCGAGAAACTTAATTGTATTAGGTAGTCCATTTAGAGTTCATATGAGATAGTACCTTTAGGTATTTCACTTCTGACTGATTCCAACAAAGACCAAAACCTTATTAACTTTTATTCTTTTTTTCGATCGCAAAGAAATTCCTGTATCTAGTTTCTAGACCTACTATCAACCCTAAAGCCTTCCAGTTTTTTCGTAGAACTCAGACAAAAATCCTCTAAAGTCGCTGAATATTATATATACATTAGGTTTTAACTTTGTATTTCTTTTTCTTCAATCATTACAGATCACTTGGCTCACTCTTTATAAAACCGTAAACAATGGGAACTATTTCTTTTGATAAGGACCATTCTTTTAATGGTGAAACAGCTTTTTCAAAATCAAATCACATCTATAAATTTATCACTGAATGTCCAGAACACTTGTCGAACAGCAAAGATAATATGAATCACTGTAATAGTGACAACGAATTAGACTTACAAGGAGAAAGTAGTGGTATTCAAATGATGAATACTCCAGTAGTCAATCATGATACTTCTTGTGCCCATCCACCTGGTAGTAAACGTCGATTATTCAACGATGATAACCATAGCCCTATATTTACTCAACAACCTTTTACTGATGAATATAGTTCTTGTGGAAAACTTACTCGAGGAAAACAAAAAATACCCATTGAATTTATTACTGATCGTACTAAAAGATATTCAACTTTTTCAAAGCGTAAAACTGGACTGATGAAAAAAGCAGTTGAATTAGCAGAATTAACGGGTGCTGAAGTACTTCTTCTTGTTGCTTCAGAAACAAATCATGTTTATACATTTGCTACACAACGATTAAAGGGTATAATTGAGTTGGAGTGTGGTAAGAAATTGATACAGACGTGTTTAAGTTCATCTGTAAGTACAGATAATTCATTCATGAAAAATGACTATCAAGATTCAAAAATTTCATCCAGTAATCAAAATGAAATGGAATGGAACAGTTGTAAAAAGGAAAACAATATTGTTACCAATTCAAATAAACATAAAGACTGTATAGCCGAATCACTATGTATACGTGATGAAGATAGTACAACAGTTCCTGTGTTAAAAGTAGAAACATCGCCTCAAATATCAAATCAAATTCCTATTAATAAATTAGATAATCATGATGATAATTTTCTTAGTTCAACAAACAATTCTAGCCAGGGTGATGATCATATTTCTCTGGATAATGAAACTGTTGGCAGTCATTTATCTGAAATAAACAATATCTCTAATTCAGTTGATAGTAATAATATGTTATGTGTACCACTTAGTGTATTCCCTTCTTCTACATCACAAAATGTCTTCACATTAACTCCATTATCTTCTAGTCTTTTTTTAACTGCACAAATTACTACAAATCAATTGTTTTTAGTACCACAAATAAATTCAATGTCTTATATTCAATCAGATTCAACAAATGTATCAAATAATTTATCAATATCGAATCAATCGAATTCTAATTTTATAGAGTTTCAAAATAACAATCCAAGTAATAAAGAATCATTGGAATTTCCTACAGATTGTACAATTAAAGAATCCATATTTCTTAAATCTGATAGTAATGAAAATTTAATCAATAAATTAGGAGATAATTCATGTAAACATTACTTTCGACCTGCAGATTGAATCGTCATTTTTACTGTTTCCCTTCTAATTTGTTTGTTTTAAAAATACATTACTAACCTTTAGTTTATAGTTTATTATTATGCTGCTTTGAATTTGTTTATACTTTTTTTTTTCAAAATATTTAGAGTCCTTCATCGTATTTAATATTTTATTGAAAATACTTCTGAGTTATTTTGCTTGGCAACTGTATAAAATCATGTAATTCTGGAGTTATCTGTTGATATTCTAGTCATTCCGAATTTATGCCAAGTACGCATATTGTGTACTTAAAAGAAGGTATGTGACCATGTGCTTTGGAGCATAGGAATATTTCTGTCCGTCACTTTCGGGGACTGAAAAGATTTGATAATAGTTTTCAGTATAGTGAAACCAATCAAGAAACTATTGTGGATAAGGAAGCGTTATCAATAGGAAAAAAATCTCCCTGAATTTATTACAATCACCGTTGAACCATAAGTCCGGGATCTGGTAATTCGAATTGTTCGACCTTCAAATAATTATTGATCGGTTTACCACAACTTCGAATTAAATACCTTACAAAAGACTCATATATTATGAAATTTAGATCATGTACTAAATATAAGAAGAACGCGTTTTTATTCGTCAGCGAGATTCGAGCTTTTATTCAAATAACCCTATTAAAACATTTATTATTGCTGATGTGGAAATAAAATTGTCTAATGATTTAACTTCGAATACTGTCGTTCACCATGACAATGTAGTGTTTGCAGGAAACTGATTCATGTGATATTGATTTCCAGACTAATTAGGTTCAACTTGATAGATCGTATATATGGACTCATAATCGAGTATTTGGATCTTAAGTCACCTGTGTAAATTGATTTCATAACGACTGTTTGGTAGATTCCATCGAAGAAAGTCTATTCGATACGGCGTTTACGACAAAAGAAAATGATAAAAAAAAATATGTTCCATATTTACAGAAGTATACATAATGACTGTATACACCTCAGTGTAGTCGAATTTAAATCAAATCACTTCATGTAATAAACACCAATTGCAGCTATCAAGTGATTAGTCCAGATAGCCTACATGATTCAGGCTTCTTAGATTCGAGAAATATCGGGGTAAACGACGAGCTTTATCGAATCAAACTGGCAATTCAAAATGTCTTACTGCTATTCGCGTTACATATATTCCAACACATAGCCGCTTTCAACAGTTCATCGTTTGAAATTACCGCACTTCTCGATGGCAGAAATAAAAGTTAATCGAAGAGAAGAATGCTTCAAAAAGTGGGTAAAGAACTATTGAGTTCACAATACTGAAATTTCTACAGATCAGAAAAGATTAGTCACATCTATGTAATCTGGCTTTAGGCTACTGATAGTGTATTACTTCTGGAGATGTCCTAGAAGATTACTTCATGAGTCAGTATCATGTTCCAGTAATTTGTAGCTTTTCTTAATTTACAAATAAAGCCAATAGGTCAAGTCTGTCTAAGTGATGACTTTGTGTATATAGAATAACATCCAGTTGGTGTAAATTTACAACTCTATCCTTCTTTTGCTATTAGCTTCGTGTAACTTTATATCTAAGTAAACTAGATAACGCCGTTTGGCAAGCGATTCTTTGTAGTTAAAGTAGACAGCAGCTTACACCATACTTCTGATAGCAGCGGAAGATATCCCGAACCTTCTAGGAATTTTGTAAAGATGCTCAGAAGCTCACATTTAGGCGGTCCTCTTTCCATAAAAAATGACATCTTATGCTTACTTCAGTTAGATTTAGCTACCCATCACTTGAAGATCAAATGTTAATGAGAAGTTAAAACCTAATCAGTGTGCATTTATAGAAGCTTCAGATACAGATGATGAGGAAGGATATTCATAGTGGACATCATTAGTTAACGTCTATATCTGAATGGCAGTTGTACTTAAGCTCTATTACTACTGCTTCATTTCAGGTAGAAATTTCTCAATAGCGTGATAGATTCAGTTAGCATTGGTCCCAGATGAAGACAGTGACGAAATCAAACGTTGCTCTCTCATAGGTTAAGAAGCACCACGGTTGTGGGAAAATAGACAACTCTGTTTTTCAGAATTTGGCGTCAATTTCAGATCATAACTTCGTTTTATTTTGTTCATGAGATCCGCTCAGGTATCTGGGAACTATAGTTTTCAGATCATGGAAAGCACATCAGTTAGGTTGGTTAGTTTACAGTCATCACTAGGGGGAAACTCGTTTTTGCATACACTGAGTCATTTGAAACTACCGGTCATAAAATCAGTGTCTCCGTTTTCCTGAGTCTTAGCTGGATGATGTTATCTATACTTTAAAAGAATGGACGACAACTGTTTCGCGTACATATTCTCTGTGTCTGAAAAAATTTACTGAATCAAAAGTGGATGGTATAATTTGATGAACATTTCTTCATTCCTTTAAAATATTGGTTGGGAATGTAATCTATTCCCCATTGCATTCTGTCAACTGTTTTTGCATGTAGTTAGTACCAAACTGAAACGATTCCTGAGCATCTGAGTTCAAATGATGATAACCTACCACTTAGGATAACAAAGTCATGGCTAACTACTGTGCTATTGGTATGACTTAATAATAAATCTGGTCAGGTTTGTATATACATTTTGTGAAATTGACAGTACATGTGAAGAAGCTTGTGAACTAACTAGCGGGTTGAATATGTAGAAAGAAACATGCTCCACAGAATCCACTACAAATTACTATATATTCCATAGTAATGATAGATAGTGGCTACCAGTGGAATCCAGGATGGGCATTTCGTCCTATTTGTGACTTGTCAGCCGGATGTACCTGCCTCTCAGTGAGTGTTGTTCTCACGGGAGCTCGAACTCAGGACCTATAGCTTCACACGCCAAAGCGCCATTCACTAAACCACCGAGCCACTTCTTGTACGATGGGTATATTTTTAGTGTTATTGCTTGCATTACACCTTCGTTGACTGGACCGCGTTGATCAGTCTCTGTTGGCGTATGGGCTCCTGTGCGGATGCCTCGACATTGCCTGTGTTCTTAATTATATAGTAATGATGGATAGTGGCTAACAGTGGAATCCAGGATGTGCATTTCGTCCTATTTGGGACTCATCACTAAAACTATACATTCCATTTTACAGCGGAGGGATTTATGCTAATAGCCTATGTCGGTCGAGAAATCTATGTTAAAAAGTATAACACCGGATTCTCTTCTCGCTAATTTGCATTACTTTTCTGAATGACATCTCAGCCCTCTTCCTTAACTTATTTCCACGCATACTTCTTTGTTTATGGGAAATGATTTCACTTTGTTGATGTTTTGTCTAACATCATTGCTAAAAGTTAAATCGACTTCAATGACAGCAACATCCAAGCATTGTTTAAAATCATACACAAGACATTCAGCTTGCTTCATCTGAAACTATAATCACTGTTATTTTTGGACTTGATGTTAGTCATGAGTGTATTCAAACTAATTGAGCTATGTGGTATATTTGTTCCAAGACCTGGGATGCATTAGTTATTCTCACTTAATCGATAAATATTTTGTGATTTCCTTGAATTAGTACTAGATAAAATCTAACGAAGTGGAACTCACCAACCACATAGACTCACACAGCTGTAGGGAGAAAATATTATTTGATACGGCAAGGATATTCTCTGGATGTACAAACCCCTATGGGTGGAATGAAGTCCTGACCTACGATTGGTTGAAAGTTGAGTATTCCGGTCAATGAGTTCCCACTTCACTAGGGAAAGAATTTAAACGACAGTCAATCAAGAAAACCAGTCGTTTTATTTTAATCATTATTAGAATACATAAAGTAATGTATTGTTGGTTTTAACTGACTGAAAATCAATCACAGAGCAAACCTTTCTCCTAAGTTGCTAAACCAACTTGTTGAGTTCATTCTTAGATCAGAATAACTAAACTGAAGTTGGGAGTCCACAGCGAATATGCGAAAACTTCTCATTTTGAGAAACACAACTAGATGAAACCAAATCACAAAGTTCCGCTGATTTTGTTTAGGACAAAAATGTTTGTCAAGAAATACGGATCAGTGTGAACATTCGATGGCCATTTATGATTAATAAGCAGATCGAAAGAGTCGTTTTACTACTTTCAAGTTGAGCCGCCTTGGATCTTTTCGTCTCCTGGCACTGAAGTTGATTAAGAAATGAAATTGAAATGCACTCACCAACCTTGTGTACAGTAGACAATGAGCCACACCTATTGTGTGAAGGTTAATGATACTACCTGGCTGCCCGAACCCCATTAGGCGAAGCGGGACTCGAACCAGCAGCTTATCCGTTGAAAGTCATCTCCCTAAATCAATAAGCTACAGTTCCACACAAGCTGTCTAAGACACATATTCAGCTAGGTATGTGAGCTTTGACAAAAAATAACCAATCAGAAATGTAAATAACAATTAGTTCTTATTGATGTGATTAGTAGGCAATTGGTAGTAAAAACATCAAATAATTTTGGGAAGACTACTTCGTTTACTTTCCCTTTACGCATGATCAAGTTTGGATGTTAGTAAGCTTGTACGTTTTGAAAATTCTCGCACAACTGTGTTTCTCTTATTAAGGATTAGTTTGATCGAATATCTTGATTCATGAATGTCAGCAAGTTTACACCATGTGCTTGGACTCTTATTCTTCAAAAATCAACTTTCATGAAAAAGATTTGTAGCTCAGGATGAGGATGACAGTGGTTTGGTGTTCTCTAAGTTTTGATATTTTGTCCTGAATGTTTCATCATTAAGCTTAGTGACATCTTCAGCGCTAACTTCATAAAGAAGTAGTACATTGTAAATTGGTAAAGACAAAATCCTAAATGTTAGTATCTTCATAAAACCGGTTTCTATAATACTTGATACATCATTTATCACCATATCAACACACTGACATACAATAATTTGTATTTTAAGAAAAAGCCTTCATGCTGTACAAAGAGGAGGTATATTATGCTGACTATAGTATAACTTCGAAAATATTCACTCAGTACATAATGTCGAGTTCAGCAGATTTATGTCGAACCTGCAGATAATCTGTTGTGTAGGGAGCGCGAAGATGTATACGCAGATCTTTAATGCTGACAGCTGAATCCACTAGCACACAAATCTGTAGGAGGGAAGAACAGATGACAGTATAAGTCAACACTTGAGTAAACAAATGGAATACAAGAAAGATGATCGACAATAAGTACAAATCCACAGAAAAAGAAAAGGATGCGTAAATTTTCAAAATGTTACAGGCTGGGTAATAAATATATAAACGCAGTCATGATAAAGGTATTCCCCATACAATGTGTCTTACATAATCTTCCTCAGAACAAGAAGAATTAGACCTGTACAATAAAATGAATTCAGGGTTTTTTTTTATTCCTCTACAAGCAGCCCAAAGCATACACGGAATCGCTGTGTTAAAAGTTTACACTTTTTGTTGAACAGAATGACCATTGAAATGGGTGAAGTTAGAAGAAACGAGTAAAAAGCAAATGATGTGAGCAAAAGGTTATACATGAAAACATAATGTATTGTTCATCTATAGGTATTTTGAAAAATGATTAAGGGATTTTAACAAGTTGTATAGTGTCAGGATATATCACGCACAAGTACACAAGAAAACTCGATGAATAACATTTTGCATAACTTCTGATCTGATGTAGACTCCTGGTAGTGAAAGTGAAGTCTCGGAAGAGAATGAAGTCGTTCACTTCTTCTGGCTTCAATAAAGAAAACCTTATTGATTTTAATACATCGTTTCAATACAGTTGGAAATATTTTCGATCATACAGTTATTATTCGAGATGATCAATAAAATGCAAACTTTGCTTATACCCGATTTCAGTAAGATACAGTCAAGACATTTAAAACTGCGGCGAATATCTGTAACTCAGGCTGTGGATGCTCAGAAAGAGTTGTTTTCTTAGCTGGTATGAGAGTGAAACATTTGACAAGTAAAACCCTAGCTGAGAGGACAACTCATTCACAACACACTAAACTTCAAAGCTAATGAGAGTAATTAAATCCCATTCGAATACTAGTATTAAAACTATGCAAGACTTCAGAAATGATACAATAATATATTCTGCACACTTGTTGTCTTGTCTTAGGGATTCCTATATCCCTTAAATTCCATACTTACAGTTTGAGTATATTTGAACTGTTTTACTTGGCCCGCTTTTTCCTGCGCATGGGTCATATTTCGTATGACCCGCTAGCGTTCTGATTGACTCCTGCTTCTTTAAATGTACTAATTATTCTATGCCTTTCAAAGTTACTGCGAAGTCTATAAATAGGGCCCATTTTCACTAATAAACGTTTCCAGTCCGAGATACTATTAAACTCAGCTGATTTTCAGTCTTTTGATTTCTCTTAGGGAATCACTCAGATTGAATCGTCTCAACCCTGAACTACTAATCATTAAGTATTTCCGTTCGTTCTCACAACTCCGGATCATAACAATATGAATAATCTGTGTAAGTGTCATAATAGCAAACAATTCTTTCTGGCTATTAGAATCTTTCAGTTGTATGAATTACTTCTCATGGAAATTTAATTAAATATATGATGGGTACGGTAGAGCGATCTAATTGCATTCTATATCACACCTTATAGTAAAAACACTTATCCAGTATTTTATGTATTGGAGTATCATTTGAAGTTTTAGCGAATAAAAAGTGTCTAAGTCCATAGTATTTTTATGGTTAGAGAGGTTTGTTGATGTTTAACATAATGAAGAAGATGGACAAAAATGAAAGTCAAAATTCAAAGTATAGTATGAGAAAAATGTTAGTCAGATTATGCCTAATACTGACTCAAATAGGAATTTGAAACGTATTTTCAAACCTATTTTGGATATACTATCCAGATATTATCTACATCGAAGCGAGTATACGAAGGCTTCAGGTGTACCACCGACGGTACCTCTGTAACGTAGGTTGCGTGTTGTGAAACCACTCCTAGTTCAGCAAAGCCCAAATCAGGCGTAGAGCTTCGGGTAAAGAAGGTACATCATCTGATGAAATTGTACACCTTCATACATGTTACGAGCACCTACTTACTGTCTACCCCGTCACACAGTGCCTCATATATATTTTCAGGGTAATCAATACGTAGATTTGTCTTAATATCATCCAAAAGAACATATAAAGTGTGTCATTACACTGGTCAACTTGTATACACACTGTGACATCTTGAGCAATATTTTAGAGAATAATGTTAACTCCTTTCTTACTTGTTCTCGTTTACCCTATGGGAAGTTTCTTTCGTACTTTCTTTTTATATCTTCAGTTTTATACTACTCAGTATTTTAGAGTAGTATATTTCATGTTTCCTTATAATGTTGCTTCACCAATATCCTTGACTGTTCAATTGTATCTTGTTCACCATTTAACGTCCGTAGATATTAGTATCTTTCACAAATCATGATGGTGTTACAATTTCATGAGTTGTTCCTTGATGTTCTATTTTACTGTGAACATTTGTTTATCTTACGTCTTTATCTCATTGTGAGAAATTATGCGCGTCTTTTATATTTCCTTCTGGTAGCTTGGACACAGCCTTGCTGTTTTTACTGTTGACGCACTCTTTTTAAAGTGTCTTCATAGAGATAAATCCGCAGATACCTCATGACTCGAGGTTTATATCTTATTACTCAACTTTGCCTATTAATATAGAACCGTATTTCAGGCAAATCATGCATTTTGGATTTTACGTGCAACTCGACCGTTTAGTTCGCTTGTTTGCTTTGGCTTGGATAATCTTGAAAAGAAAATCCGAGCAACTTTTGCTGAATAAGCTGTGGGTTAAACAGTGAAACGCTAATAAAAATTCTGATCTGATTTCCTACACATGCTGGGACTACATTAAAGTACATTTATCTGATGATTAATTCAGACTTCGCATTTAAAATTTTTCAGGACATTCGTAACACCTCTATAGCCTGTATGCTTATCAAAGACAAAGGTGTTAACTTTTATAGTAAGGCAGATTTGATATACTTCTGTCACTATGATTGATTTCAAGTCTTATATCATGGATTTCTGCTGTCTTCGGTCAGCGGAAAAGTGCGATTTCCTACATAACTGAAACGGGCAGTTAGTATTTTTACGAATTTTTACTTTACCTTGATCCGTACACCTGGGAAGGGATACACACCTCTTCACAGATGGTGAATGGCAACTCATGAAGAATCGAATCGTAATTAATTTAATAAGTGACATTATTCGTTGAATCACAACTATTTCATATATTCTTTGAAACAAGCAAAGGTAACTGATGGCCACAGAGTTATTGAGAAACAGCGAAATAGAGTACATTGTACGAAAAGAATACTTACCTAATCCTACTGCTTCATCTAAGAACATGTGGCAGATGAGAGTCCACAGGATGCATTTATAAGTATAAACATTCCATCACTTTCGTAACAACCTAATTTCACGCTAAATTAGTTAGACAAGGGGAGAGAGGGAGCAAAACAAGGAAATATGATATCGAAAAAAGCCCTTAATGAAATACATTCAAAAAATCTCTACTTCTGCAAAATTTGTTAATTTATTTAGAAAGTATGTTCTTTTGCAATCGGTATGAAGGAGAGAAATAATCAGGATTCAAGAACCGGGCAACTGCTTCAAATAACCATCAGAATATGTCAAGACGACGTGCTTACGACTGATCGTGTACTAAATAAAGTCTATGACTTTTACTTTTCACAATGGATACCTAAAATCTTATAACCATTGGTTCCCATTATTGCAGTGACTTGTGATACCAGTTAAAAAGAACAGTTAATGAATTGAAATATCAATCACCAGACTCAGGTTTCGCAATTTGCAGTTGAACATAAAAGTCTTCGACTGAATCGCCGATGATGTGAACGTCTTACACTGAGTGACATCTGTGACTACTTGTTTGAAGTTTATGCGTGCATGGGTGCGGTGAGGAGAAATCTGAAGGTTCAGGATATATAGGATTAGAAAAATTATTCAGTAGGGACATTCGAGCTACATAGTTAAAGATCGATCACAAGATTATCGAAGATCCACTCACGAATTAACCTGCCTTAGACGTTAGAATCCATCTCATCTGCTTCCTCAATTTCTATGTTATTCTTTTGCTTTTATTTTAGAGCCATAAGTGACATCTCTGAAGTGAGGGAAACTATATGTTCGCTCAAATTTAAGAGTCGAACGGTGTTGGAACTTGTGATTCACTATCAACTGAAAGTTTAACCAGTCCCACTTCCAGTCTCGCTTCAGTGTAAGAGAGATTGAAGAGAAGTAATACTACACACGTCTTACTGAAATGCAGTTGTCTAGTCTCTAGAAGCCTACTTGATGTGATAAAGCTGTTGCAGAAATATGCATCTTCAGCACGTGTCATATCTAATTAATCTGCTGATTAAATAGAGGGTTTTATGTATATATGGAAGGAAATTGATATCACATGACGTAAATCAAGGGAAAAAAAGAAGAAAAAACTGACTTCAAGACATGTTATTCCGATAACGTAAAACAAATTCAAAAACTTGGTCTCATAATTGCATTCAAATCGAAAAAAAACTTTAGACTGTGAAGCGATTCATTGAGTAATAATAAGTAGGTGAACGATAATAACGCGATGGGACACTTCAACTAAATACGAATAGTGACTGTTCTCCTTAAGAACTTTATACCTTACTGAGCCACGAAAATCCGACGACAAAGACCGACCTGTGACTGTAAATAAGACGCTTTATTCTACAAAACATCATTTACATGGAGTTTTCATGAACATATGGATCCACAAGGTTATAAGTTAAATAGCTTATTTTGTTTGGTCAGATGTAGGACAAAATTGTCTAATGAGGTTTTCCCTGCCCACACAATGACATAAAACAAAGATTGAATTTTCAAAACTTTTATCTTAGCAGCTGATGAGTTAAAATGTTGATTCTTATCAGGCTAGAATCAGTATACTGATTAAAAGTCAGGTAAAAATGAAGTGAAATACAAAATCTATTTAGTAGTAAGTTTTCAAAGAGTTCGATATACAAGTCTGAGGTATCCTAGTTGGAGTTTGTCAATACGTGAATTACTGTGACATCAAAAACAAGATATTCAGAGAAGAGGACTCTTTTCAACGAATTTATTCTCAAGCTATACATTCGTATATAAATATGATATTTAAAGACTGTAATCCGTGAGGAAGATTTAACTTAACTAATGGGGAGTTGAAATAACAACAATGGTGGTTATAATGATAATCTTGCTAGTTGATGACGTAAAGGTCGAATGGTAACAAAAAGGGTTACATAAGATTTTTTTTAAACTCGTTTATAAGGTGCATACAGATTATATACGGATGATGTATTCGTTATTTGTAACTCAACTATCGACCTGGATGACATTCTACGCGAGTTTAACAATTGACACTCAGCGTTGGAATTCACTATTGGGAAGGAATTGGGATCAGCTATTCCTTTCCTTGACATGCTGATTACCAGATATAGCAATGGAACGCTGAAAAGACCCATCTACAGGAAACCATGCGGAATGGACAGCTTACTAACTTCTATAGCTAGGTGTCGATCATAAGGAAAAGAAAACTCATTTACTCACTCTGCTATCGAATAAGTAATATTTCTAGCACGGGGGCAATGAACTTGACTTTCTAAGAGGGACGCTGGCGGAAAACGGCTATCCTAGCCAATTTACCTATAAGAATATTCGAGAAAGACGTGAAAAATTAGTCATCAGCTCAGTTTCTAAAAGGACTTTGTTCATAAATCTGGAATTTAAAGGTGATGCAACATTAAATATCCTGAAAAATCGTCTTTTCAGATCAATTAGTAGGGCTTTTTTCCCAGCCAAACTTCACTTGATTTTTACCAGTCGTAAATTATTCTCCGTTTGTATAAAAGACAATATCCCTCGACAGGCCACATCCGTGTGTATCTACCATTTCACCTGCTCCTGTGGAGCAAGATACATCGGCCGTAGTCAGAAGTCACTGTCAATACGTACGCGAGAACATATTCCAGCCTGATTTTATAAGGGCGAAAGAAAATGCATCAGAAGTTCTATCCTTGAGTATCTAATCGATTCCAACCATCCAACCGACCTAAACAATAATTTTAAGGTTGTCTATCGAATTTGCTCAAACATTTCATGTTTCCTCCGTTTTCGACTTCTAAAAACAGTAAAGGCCTTGGCTACCCATGAACTGAAGCCTAACCTTTGTGTGCAAACGGAGTTTGTACAGTCTTTGTCGCTATCTAGGCTTCAATTTATTTTGATCTTGATGTGCTTCGTTTCTTTTTCGTTTTTCAACTACCTCCTTTTTTGACAGATTAATCTTATATCGTCGTTATCACTTTAATTTTATATTTAATTGTTTCCGGTGTTATTTCATTTGATCTTCTTAATAATCGCTACTTTTGACAAAATATCTCCAATTTATTCCAATTAACCGGTTGTCTCCTTCATGTTACCTAATCCTGTGATTGTTTATTAACTCCATCACGTTTTCACCCCTTTTTAATCTATATGCACCTTATAAAGGAGTTAAAAAATCTTATGTAACCCTTTTTGTTACCATTCGACCTTTACGTCATCAACTAGCAAGATTATCATTATAACCACCATTGTTGTTATTTCAACTCCCCATTAGTTAAGTTAAATCTTCCTCACGGATTATAGTCTTTAAATATCATATTTATATACGAATGTATAGCTTGAGAATAAATTCGTTGAAAAGAGTCCCCTTCTCTGAATATCTTGTTATTGAAGCGAATTATTCTCCATCCATGAACTTTTCAATCATGACTACAGTTTACACACGAAAACTAGAATATTGCCTGTTCGATTGGAACATCAACATATATCAAGATGTTAACATATACGAGACATGAACCACCTCAAAAAACAATTTACCATGTATAAAACGGATGATATGCCAACAGCATATCTACACATAAAAGCAAAGAAGCCAAAGTTTCTGTTTACATAGCTTTAGTAGTATACTAATCAGTTGATAATACAAATGAAGAAAGTTATTATATGTTTAGGAACCAATTGAATGATTGAAGTTAAAAACACTGGAAAATCTCACTGTTCTTTCATAACCTTCTTTAGTTAAATTCTACGCGTGAAAAAATGAAGTAAGCAAGCACACTTAACCGATAGGCAGCTTAGTATGCAAGAGCCACCGACTGCAATCCAGGACGAATAGAGAAGATCGATAGCAGAGTTAGTTCCCACCAATTATTTCAAAGGCATGGGGGTAAGTATACATATGATATATGACATTCTGCGCAATTTAGGACATTGGCATGGTAACAGTAAGGACTAACCAATCAGTGAATTACATTGTAAAAGGGGGAAGAAATCAAATATTAATAACGCCATAAATATGACAAGTTAAAAGTGTTTAAATCAATAACACTTTTCTTATGCGAGACTGTGACCTTCCAACAATCTATGAATTATTGCATACTTCATACATTAGTGTTATGTTTTAGTCTGGCCACCACGAACCTTTTTCCAGCCTAAACCTACTTCAGCCAACATTGTGTGATGAGGCAATCGGCGACTAGGCATACGTAATATGTGTCCCAACCATCTCAGTCGATGAAGGTTCATAACCTCGTCAGCTGACTTACCCCTACTCCCTAAAACTCTAGACCCTGACGTCTGCATTACTCACGTGGTGACACTACGGAATACGGCGTATACTACGAAGGCGACGGTGGTCAAACACCTGAAGTCTTCTCATGTCTTCCACCTTCAATGGCCATGTTTCACAGCCATACAGTAGAACAGAGCGGACCCTTTATAGACAATCGGATATCATGGCGACGCCACAGGTGGTGTAAGTTGGCAAAAGCCAACCGAGTCTTTTGTATTCGTGCAGAGATTTCACCAGCCACTGACCCACCAAGGCTGATCCTACTTCCCAGGTAAGTGAAGTGGTCGATACACTCAACCATTACACTCTCTATTATTAGCTGTGGGACCGTTGAAGACAAATCGTTTAGCAATAATTTGCATTTGGGTGGTGAGAAAAACATCCCAAACATTCTCAAATTACTACTCAAAGTGTTCAGAAGACTCTGCATCTTGTTAGCCTCTTCACCTAACACGACAATGCCATCTGCATATTCTAGGTCTAACGAAAATTCTTCACCGATTCGATCAACGTCTGTGGATCCAGGTGACGAGAGGGGGATCTCCATAAGAATATCTATGGTGAAATTGAATAAGAATGGAGAGAGTGGGCACCCTTGACAGACACCACTCGATGAGTACAGCTAACCTGACATCTCACCATAGGCTCTAACACACCCGCAAGTGTTCGAGTAGAGAGCCTTCAATAAGGTGATGTACTTACTCGGCACGCCTTTCAGTGACAGACATTGCCATAAGACTTCTCGATCAACGGAGTTGAATGCCACCTTGAGGTCTAGAAATACAACTATTGTTGGGCGTCTGTAAGAGTGTCTATGTTCCAGAACCTGGTGCAGTGTGAATATTCGGTCGATACACCGGCGACCGGGTCTAAATCCTGCCTGGTTTTCTTGGGCTTGTTGTTCCCGAGCTCCACTCAGGTATCGAAGAATTGTAGAACCTAGGATCTTGGACACTATGTTCGTCAGGCTGATTCCTGTGTGGTTATCATAAGAGGACTTCTCGCCTTCCTTGAATGCTGGAATAACCAGTGATTTAGACCAGTCAGAGGGGATCGTATTTGATTCCTATATACTGGTTAACACTTCCGTTAACCTGACTAAGAGCACTCCACCACCATCCTTATATACCTCTGGAGTAAGTCCGTCTGGTCCTGGCGCCGTATCTCGTTTCAGGTTACCTACTGCTTTTTCGACTTCTGCTAGTGTTGGGGAAGCCTATCTCTATGTCCCATTCAGGATCCGAATGGATAGCGGGTAACGCAATGGTGGCTGGAGGCCAGTTAAACTGTTCCTCGAAGTGTTCTGCCCATCGTTCCAGTCGTCTCCCCTGCAAGTGAATCGTAGATCCATCCTCCGCTATGGTCTCACTAACCGCAGTCGACCTTTCTCCCCCAGTTTCCTTAACAAGTCTAAGTAACTGTCTACTGTTACCAATCGCCGCCGCCTTTTCCGTCTCTTTAGCCTTCGCTGCCCACTATTGTTTGCGTTTACGTTCAGCCTCGATTAAGAAAGTGCCACCTAAGTGCCTCTCTGCCTCACTCAGTCTACTCACCTGTGCATTGAAGTCACCTGCAACAACCACATCCAAACGTTTGGCTTTCGAGAGGAGGCTAGACAGTTTACGATGGAATTCGTCCTTCACTTCACCCGAGCTGCAGTCAGTGGGTGCGTAAGCAGAGATTACAAAGAGACAACGGCGAGTCTCCCTATTCCTTTTAGTTCTCATTGTGCCGTTCGGCCTCATAGCGCAGAGGCGACTATCGACTGAGATCCAGCTCTAGTGCTTAATACTATGCCTACACCTGCACGACCATGAAAGCTAGCTATCGAATCTCCAGAAACTTAAAGTGTGAATTTTGCGGATTCACTAGACTGGTCGCCAGAGGTTAGGTGAATAACCACACTTGGGTACTGTATACATGTCTCACAAACACAGCACACATCTATGACCCGAGTTCCTAGTCTTTGCTAACGAAACCTGTTGACCAATTTGAGGGAGGGTGCGGACATTGAGGGCCCCAATATGTAATTTGGAGCGTGGTTTAAGGAGACCAGGGATACTGTTCTGTGGACTCAGATAGTTGTCGAAGGCTGGAGAGCTAAGAGAAATTGATGATGTAGTGTCGTTGATTGAGAGACGTGAAGGAAAATTAGGTAATGATGTAGGAGATGGACAGCAGTCAGAAGAAACTTGAGTGCCAACAGAGTTGTGAGGGCGGTTGACACTTCCCGGCTGCCCACACCGTGGAAAGCTATTTCTTCTTAAGGTACCTGAAAGAGATTTGTGTGACCACAGAGCCCATCGGACATCTGCTTGCTGCTTATCACACTCAGCCTTTTGTGTATGATTATTTTGAACTTTTGTATTTTCGGGGCCGGATGGTGGAAAGGAAACGACAAATAAGTCAACACTGCCGGCCCGGCAGACCGTGGGGCATGGTGGAGTGTGTTATTTTTGGAGCATCAGCATGGCACTGCTGGTCATCTGAGGGAAACTCCTTACTGATGTCACACTCCATCCAGCTAACAACGGTACGACTTCGCCCTCAGACCCCCATCATAGTGTAGTAATTTCCACCAAGACGGTAACTGCTCTTCGTCTAACCACTATCCAACACACCTTTCTGATATTGTAGGACCTCGAGGGAACAAGCGTTCCATCAACATATCTCGTTGAGTCATTGTGATATGCAAGCCCGACCACCACGTCAAGGTAGCAGCTATCGGTCTAGCTTACCGATGCCCGAACCTATCTGTATTTCTTGACTTCAAGGTGGCATTCAACTCCGTTGATCGAGAAGTCGAATGGCAATGTCTGTCACTGAAAGGCGTGCCGAGTAAGTACATCACCTTATTGAAGGCTCTCTACTCGAACACTTGCGGGTGTGTTAGAGCCTATGGTGAGATGTCAGGTTAGCTGTACTCATCGAGTGGTGTCTGTCAAGGGTGCCCACTCTCTCCATTCTTATTCAATTTCACCATAGATATTCTTATGGAGATCCCCCTCTCGTCACCTGGATCCACAGACGTTGATCGAATCGGTGAAGAATTTTCGTTAGACCTAGAATATGCAGATGGCATTGTCGTGTTAGGTGAAGAGGCTAACAAGATGCAGAGTCTTCTGAACACTTTGAGTAGTAATTTGAGAATGTTTGGGATGTTTTTCTCACCACCCAAATGCAAATTATTGCTAAACGATTTGTCTTCAACGGTCCCACAGCTAATAATAGAGAGTGTAATGGTTGAGTGTATCGACCACTTCACTTACCTGGGAAGTAGGATCAGCCTTGGTGGGTCAGTGGCTGGTGAAATCTCTGCACGAATACAAAAGACTCGGTTGGCTTTTGCCAACTTACACCACCTGTGGCGTCGCCATGATATCCGATTGTCTATAAAGGGTCCGCTCTGTTCTACTGTATGGCTGTGAAACATGGCCATTGAAGGTGGAAGACATGAGAAGACTTCAGGTGTTTGACCACCGTCGCCTTCGTAGTATACGCCGTATTCCGTAGTGTCACCACGTGAGTAATGCAGACGTCAGGGTCTAGAGTTTTAGGGAGTAGGGGTAAGTCAGCTGACGAGGTTATGAACCTTCATCGACTGAGATGGTTGGGACACATATTACGTATGCCTAGTCGCCGATTGCCTCATCACACAATGTTGGCTGAAGTAGGTTTAGGCTGGAAAAAGGTCCGTGGTGGCCAGACTAAAACATGGCACGAATGCACGAAGTCTCTGACTGTCGGTTTGAGCCATGGGGGGCGATGCAGACTAAGTGGTTGGGGTCGGCGGGACAAGATGAATCAGTGGCTGGAGGCTCTAAGGGAAATGCCTCAGAACCGATGTCAGTGGCACACATGTATACACACGTTATCCTCATCTCAACACTATACAGACTCTCACCTTTTTGCCATTATTCGTTTCTCTCTTTTAGTGCTTCCTATTTCTTTTGACTGAATTTTGTGATCTTCATCTTGCGCCTCACTGCCTTTTTACTTGATGCACTGATATGGGGTGTGGCAACTCGGACCGTTACGCAGTAATGCCTGGTCCTAGGTTGATCTGGATGGATTTTCAATTTTACAGATTCACATTACGCCTGACTGTGGTATTTTTGCTCAAGGTTTTGTAATCACTTAATGTCAGCGCAGTTTCATTGTGGCAAAATTACTGTATTGAAAAAACCGATCATGATGAAACTTTGATTAGGAAAAAATATGAATTTGTCGGAATATCTCATCGTTTCAATGGTACAATGGGTTTATATGCCGGAAAGGGTAAGAAAATAATCAAACATCACCTAAAACTTCAATTAATTTATACAAGGTGTATTTCATTGGTAACACGGGTTAATTATCATACCTGAAATTGGTTTTGCTGTCATCATGAACATCACACTTCAAAACTGATCCATACTCAGAATGAAGTTCATTGAGAAAGATACTACGATTTTGTTCAATAGTTTCTATTATACTATGCATATTTAAAAGATTAAATTTCTGATTAGAATAGTCCACCAAAGGTGTCATCAATATTACAGCCACTTCTAATTTTGTCTCATCAATATCCAGATATTGGTAGGCTGTCAGAATCAAAGGCTGCGTGCAATTAGGTATTAAGTTTGTCGAATCTTCATAACACTTGATAAAATTCCAACCAGCTACAATTTTGAAAATGAAAATAGTTTCATCATATCAGTAAATTTTTACTTATTGGTAAACAATTAGTTGCACTGTTAGCAGCGTCTAGTTAAAACATCAGTCAATCAAAACACTGGCCTACACGTTAATTTCATTTTGAGAAATTATATTATGAACTAGAAATACTAACCGATACAAGTAAGTGATACTATATAATGTAAAGCAGTTAAAGAGTAACAATAAGATTGGGAAGTTTTTGATGTCATAGTGGCGACATTAGATAAAGAACCACGTAAAACGAGAGAGAGTACTGGGAAGCTGTTTCGTTTGAGTAAGAAACTCTTCAGATTTCTCAACTGCAAGGCCTGAAATCCCTGAGTTCGATTCCACGCTACGTCGTGGATATATATTGATGGGGAAACAGCTAGTCAATACTCTGTGGTTTTCAGTGGTTTTGTAAAACTGACTTCGCTCTGTAATGAATACTTTAGAACAATAAAAATCAAATGATAGGAAACTATTCAAATGCCGCAAAATAATCTTGAACTATTCGACCATTTGTAATTTAAAGAAAAGCTTTGCTACTCAAGTAGATGATTATAACTTTTGCTATTATGGGCGAAAATTAGACTACAGAAAAATCTGCATCAACATGCACGTTAACAGATTTAGTATCCACATTGTAGAATTTAGAAAGCGTACAAAACCAACTACTTGCTAGCTAGCGTTAAGCCTCTTTTGGACGAGTGATGCTGTTCTGTACCGACAGCTGTCTAGGCACTTCCTTTCTGAAAGCAGCCTTAGAATCCACATTGTCCTTTAGCACTCACAATGGTCTTGCTGTCATGATTTTCTCGCGTCCGTCCATGCGCACACACATGGGTGCTCGAACCAGCCCGTGATCACTGCAGGAGCAGCTTTCTTCGACTGACTCACTCCAACAACAAATGATGGCAATATGGTCTATCTGTGTCTACCACTGAGGTGAGCTCAGTGGACGCCACGTCAGACAGCGTCTCGCTTTATGTCTGAAGTTTGTGCTGACTAGGAACAAATGTTTGTTGGAGCACATATGTAGCAGGGGATAGTCGTTATCTGTTCGTCCGGTTCGGATTCTGAAAGTGCCACTTAAGTATCTTTCTGGCTGACTTAGCCTACCAACTTGTGCATTGAAATCACCTGCGAAAACTTTCACGTCTAAATGCTTGATTTTCAGTAGGAGGCTAGATAGTTTTGGTAGAATTCGTCCTTTACTTCATCCGAATTTCAGTCAGTGCGTGCCCAAACAAAGATTATACAGAGAGCCACGAGTTTTAATACTCTCTTTAGTTATCACTGTGCCGTTCAGTTGGACAACCTACAGGCGACTATCAACTGGGATCCAGACGAGTAGTGCACTTTCTGTCTTAGTGCTCAATGAAATGCCCACGCTTGCAAGACCACGGTAACGTGGTTTTAGGAGACTAAGAATAATGTTTTGTGGCTTGGATCGTTGGCAGCGGTCGCACAGTTGGTAGTTGAGGAAACTATAATGGGTTAAATTTTGGTATCAGGAAGTAAAGGCAAGGAAGGAGGTAAAGTTAAGGAAAGTAAGTTACGGTTGTTTGAATTTTGTGTGCCGCTAGGAGTGAGAGCGGCTGGTACTTCTGGTTACTCACACCATGAAAGTTGTTTCTGGAAGGGACCTATACGAGAAAATGAGTCAGTTTTGCGTTACCAAAGAGGCCAAGAAGCATCGGCTTATGACCAGTTACATTCTACTTTTAAAAGTTTTGGATTAAGATTTGGTTTCTCTACCATTGGACAAGAAGAATTTATACCGACGGTACTGGGGAAACTGCAGGTTAGAGAGAAATATGCTGTTTTGGAGGCCAACCTTTTCTAACCCCATATTTTGGAACAGGAAGAAAGTATCAGCACGGACTGGTGGTTGTCGAAGGGAAACACCTCACTGCTGCTACATCCTCATCTAACCAGCAATACGACTTTGCCGTTGGTCACCCATTATAGAGTGGCTATTTACAGTATGATGGTAACTACTTTTAATCTTACCATCATTTAATAGACCTTTCTGGCACGGTAAGACCTTGAGAAACCATTGTTTTAGTCAATATACCTTGTTCGGCCATTGCGACAGACAAACCTTACCCCTAATACAAGGTAGTAGTTGTTGGTCTGGTGAATATGCGCGACATTTGAAAGCCTATAAAAAGATGAATATACTATCTGAAAGTGCATTGACCGCTAATTTATGTTTACCAGATATAGTAGCTAAAGACTGGTTGACATAAAGTATTAGACAATATTTGTTGCTGTTAAAGTGTAGTGAAACAGCTGAGTATGTTACTTGAAACTCAGTATTATAGCATAATAGCGATTCCCTGAGCATATTTCAGCTGAGATGTTGTCAGCTGGTGTACACAAAAAAAGCTTTAGGTTGCTCAGAATGATTATTACAGACACTGAATCTTGCTGAGAGGAGCTTAATAAGCGTGTGATGATGTAAAATCTTTCAGATTAAGACATAAAACAGGCTAAAATTGTCAGTAAATACTCAGTTAACCTTTCCATTTGACGCTACACAAAAAATTCTACTTGATAATGACAGCTTTGAATAAATGTTACAGGCAAACTAAACATGAAAACTAACGTGTTATCTTTGAAATGTTGTGCAACAACTAATTCAGTAGTAGGTGTCGTATATTTTTGGGTATTAGCTTCATTTTTTTATTTCACAGTCAAATAAGTAGATCAGAAACGCGTGACACAATATATAGATCAGGGAGATTAAAACAACAAAGGACCTGACACTACAGATTAAAGTTCCAAGTTGTAACGCTTTATATCAGTTATAAGATTAAAGTGGAAGGCATCAAAATGTAAATAATATAATCAACAGTCGTTAAAAGTTATACACAAAAGAGAAGTTGATATAAAGGGAATACAAATATATAATACTACGATCTCCATGAACTGTATTCACTCTAGTGATATGCAACATGATCAATAACACTGCGTCTCCAAATACTTTTATCTTCTGCCACACGCAATACATTCATCTCCAAAGTGTAGAACAAAAGTTAGAGACTTCACGGAGTGACTTCGGCCCTTAGTGTGATCAACCTTATTTTTTCCTAGCCCAAACAATACTGCACACTGAAGTGGATCTTGAATACTAATGTGTAAAATGATCTAACCATTTCAGTTGGTGACCTTATCAACCGAATCGCTCCTACTGAAACTTTAAAACTTCATCTCAGTATATAAACATTTTCTAGTTATACTTTATGTGAATATGCTGAGGCACATGTACAAGGAAGTTTAAGCCAACCTGTGTGGTCATAGTTGAAAAAAGTGATACAGATAGAGTCACAACCATACGCCAAACCGTTTCTAATGTTAACGAATAGAGACATCATCTAACTGTGTCTGCCAACGGAGTGGAAACTATCAGATTAGAAAATAACTCTCTTTGAGTCTGAAGTTCGTGACGACTGGAAAAAGATGATTATCCAAGTGCAACTGTAGCAAGCGTTCACCACTTGACGCGCTCTGGCCGAATTCCGAGATTAACGCCAAATTACTATACTATATGATCTACGCGTCCTGCCATATCTGAAAGTTTAGCTTTTAATAACAGGCTAGGATATTTTTGGTAGAACTGATATTCCACTTCTTCTGAATTTTAGTTAACGGATGTATATGCAGAAGTCGACAAAAATGAGTCGGTATGTATCACGATCGTTTTGAGTTTTTACTGTACTGCTCAACTGAACAGTACACATGTGACTGTTGACTAGGAGAGAAGTGCAAGCTCTGCCCCAAAGATTGATGTCGTAATCACACCTGCAAGACCACAAGATTTGATCGTTGAGTCCTTAAATGCTTGAACACTGGATCGTGAAACTCAATACGCTAACCGGATGAGGTTTAGTGTATAATCGTACTTTGCTTTTGTGTTCAAAATATTCATGGCCCAGAATGCCACACTTTTTGATAGTGATGCCTACTTTGTGATTTTACATGGGTGTAGATATCATAATTTCCAAAACCCTCAAGAGCACAGTTTCAGAGTGGTATTTAAAAAATGGTACGTTTTTACGCACTGTCCTATTAAAGTCATTACTGATACCGTGGAACTTATTATTCAATTTTTAAAAGTTTGTAGAGGATAGAAAAGACTTACAGACCCTCAGTTTATCGCAAACAGACTTCTGACATATGTTCATAATTATTGATATATTATCTCACACCTGAAACAGATAAGAGACAAATGAAAAGTATATATACGGGAGCAATACTTCGAAATAAAAATTCCATGACGTACACTTTAAAAAAATAAAATAGAGACGTCACTACTTGAAACTAAAAGCCACATACCGAGTGACTCTAAGATACAGTCATGTCGTTCCAAGGCGTTTACATTTGGAATATATATAAGGATAAAGTACATACTTGTATTCTGAATACTATGGGCAAATTAAAATACAGATCATTTTTTATGGGAAGAAAACACTTTTAGGAAGTGATATTATAAAAAATGAGTACTTACCCTGCAATATGAGAAAATTGAGCAATATTGAGGCTGTTTGGTGGATGATGATTTAAAACACTTCCACTACGAACGGTTTCAGACGAGAAAGTTTAGTTGTGTAAAGTAAGCGGTATAAACAGCTAAGAGATTTGTTAATTACTTGCACACTGTAAACTTTACTGCTGCAGATTGCATAAACAAGTGAAAAGTTATGTAGCTGTAGTAGCTGAAAGTCCTGATTCCCTTCTTTTACAATTATTTTCCTTGAATGAGAATGTCAGCTTACCAAAAACGTAGTCTGCTAAATAAGTTTTTGGCATACATTTTCAACTTCTTGGGCAGAAACACTGCGACTGAAAAGTAGCTTGTGAGATGATATTGACGAGTTCAGAACTAGAAAATGAGTGATGCAGATAATGGAAAACTAATTAGGTAGGCACGTGATATTGTCCAATAAGTGCAAGTTTATGATAATTATCGAGGGAATGCGTCAAAAATTCGATTAGGCAAAAGTGAGAAAGTAGGAAATAAATTACGCAATTGTACAAAGAATTAGAAGAATAAAAAACAATGAGAACAATATAGAAGGATGTGATATTTAGTGACGCTTCATTATTCCTCTCACATCCATGCTCAGGAGTACTTTAAACGCATTTTGGAAATGGCATAAAAGCTGGATGAAAATGTAAGGCCCACTTCCGACCGTAATATCTTTCAAAAAACGTCAGGGGTGTCTGCAATGCACCTTCAGCTTACGAAAAGGTCTGTGAACATTTCTGGTTTCGCATATTTACATATCAAACAGTATTTCTGTGTAATGGTATACATTTTACCCTTGAAACAAGTTTTATAACAGGAAGTATAACAAAAAGTAACTAAAAGCGTAAGCTGCACAAAACTTGGTAAAAAAGAAGGCCAAAGTTTCTCTTGGGCTATGCCAGAGGTATTTAAGGACAGTGATCGGGGATTATTGGTTAGGTTAAATTAAGTGTTAACTAGTGTATGGGAATCAGATATGATCTCTGACTGGTCACAATCACTGATTGTCCCGGTGTTTAAGAAAGATGGGAAGTCGTCTCGTAATAACCACAAGGGAATCAGTCTGATGAGTACAGTGTCTAAGATTCTATGATCACCAGACGTTTAAGTGGAGCTCTGGAACATCAAGGCCAAGAAAATCCAGCAGGTTTTAGACTCAACAGTGGATGTACCGACCAGACATTTACTTTCTGCCAGGTTATGGAACACATGCAAGTTGATTGACGAAATACACTGGCTGGGTTTCCCGACCTGAAGACGGTGTTTGGTTCTGTCAATCGCGAGGTCTTATGAAGGCTTTTCACTGGAAGATGTGCCTAGTTAGTACAGCTCTGTACTCGAATACCAATGGACATTTTAAACCATACGGCAAGCTGTCAGGTGAGGTGTGTACTTCAAGTGGTGTCCGTCGACGATGTCTGCTCTCTGATCTTATTTTATTTTGTCATAAATGTGCTTATGAAAGTCTCCCTCTCTTAGTCTGAATTCAAGGGTTGACCTCGTTGCAGAGGTTTTTAGTACAGCTAGATTAGGGGATGTTGTTTTGTTAGGTGCGCATTGGACCACTCACATATATCGTGTTATTAACGAGCATCAAAGGAATCCTGCTGGCTGCATTGGTTTCAATCTGGGTTAAGCTACACAGTTTGTTACCAAGGTGGTTAATATTTACTTCATGGATAAAGTATGATAAAACTGCCATAAACGGTGATGTGTACTGTCGAAATGTTTCTTACAACGAAGACTCTATTCCAAAACGTCCCTCCTACTTATTGCTTTATGATTCTAAAGTTGGTTTAGAACATCTTAACAGTACTCTATAACTATAGTCATACGTTAACGTATGACAGCACTTAACAAAATACCAAATTTTGAAAACATATATGTTGGATGCCACTTTAATGATCACAAAACCACATTATATAACAATGCTTTCTGCAATGTAATTTCCACAGAAGCAGTTACTGAACCATTCTGCTAAACTTCACTTGTTATAGGTCCGTTTGAAAAATTATTTTCCATATCATTCAAGCTGATGTTAGAGATGGATGCCATATCTTCTATAAAAGAATGTATCTTATCGAGTGAAGCTATGTCACAATGAGACGCAATCCATAGCTTGGAGTATGCAAACCAATTCACTCAAGTTTGCCATCGTACCAACACCCAATATTTTTTTCTGATCGCTTAGACACTTTCTCTACAAGTTAAAAAGTCACGTACGTTAAACTTTGTGGAAACAGAAGTCTAGACGACGTTATGTAGAACTGTGCATGAGGACTAACCATCTGGTCTAGCAACACAACCTTTGACATTTGCGCGTAGTAACTGGAGTGGTTATGTCCAACATCCAATAACTATACAAGCTAGTTTAAGCTAACTGATTTCTCCGTGCTCGCTGCTAGGTCTTTTGGAACGGTTCCAGATCTTTGGGAGGTTCAGAGGCAGTGGGTGGACTCTCTTCTTGCTGTAGCTTTGTTAGTCCGACGGATGGTTGTGTGATGGCTTGATTTCTAGGGAGGTGTATGATTTATCGTAAGACCATAGTACACATGTATCCTCCAAGTTTCATATCACTAGTCAGTTGTTGGGACTGGTCATAAAAGGAAGATATGGACAGCGAAAAAACTGTTAAGCGGAACAGAACGGAGGAAATGAGGAAAAAGTAAAGAAAGGAAAAGAGCCTAGGTAAATTAGAGATAAAGAGGAATGAAAACCTTATTAGATACAGAATAACCATGGGAAGCCGGAGGAAAGCAAATGAACAGGCAAGATTACTAACAATGCAAAAATTTCCCCATCAATAATATTCCTTTCTTAATTCGTTATATTAACGCCATTGAAAATGTTGTAAGGGAGTGTACATGCGCATGCATATTTTTTCTAGCAATATATCATGCCACAAATTTCCTACTGCACCAAAACACTGTTCAAAATTAAGTCACCGTCATTTATTAAAAAACTGTGCTGTTAATAGCCTGTGAGAACTCACTGTTCACGCTTCCGAATTTTTTTCACTAGAAGCATTCCTACCATTTGAGAGAGTATGTTCCTCAGATCACGGTTAAAATACTCTAGAAATCGCTAGTGTAGAAACCAGATGAAGTTAGGCATGTGGGTTTTCAAGCCTTTTGTGCAGCTATCCTGGATTTTGCCATAGTCAAAGACACCTTCGAAGACACTTATATGACAACCGGTGAGTGCAGAAAATCAGGATTATCATGTTGCCGTTTTAATTCCACTAGCTACATGATGCAGACAAATAGTTTTCAGTGGGCCCCTACTGACTAGATTCAAGGTTGCCTGTTTTTCCGTCATTCTACTCACTTTTCAGTTCTCTACCAGTTTTAGTCACTCACAGATGCTAATCTGTGACAGTTTGCTGTAATGTATTCATACCGTCCAGTTGCTAGCGTCACGAGGCATTCATAGATAGACTACACCAGACTCCATGAAGAAGCAGCATAGTCGACTTGACCCTTATTAAAAGGAGGTGGATATAAGCTATGTTCCGCCGAATAGTAATGAAATTAGCTGCTTTCTTCCAACTGAAATGCTGAATGGCATCCTTACGTTTCTATACGCTGGTTGGTTTACTCCAAAATGATATGTCCAGAAGCTAAACTTGTGAAACTGAAGTTTAAAAATGACCATATGTACTAAATTGAGTTTGTTGTGCACTATATTACTCAAGCTGGCGAAATTCTTAATCAAATGTACAGGATTTCATGTAAGCACTTATTGTCACCGTACAAACTTTGCATGTCCCATAATGGGTTGCAAAAGTTAAGCTGATTCATGGTTTGTTTTTGATAACCAACCCAAGAAAATTCAGCTGGTCGTTCTAAATTTGATGATCGTTCTTTTTAGCATAGAACGGGCAAATTCTACTCTATGAATGACGCCCAGGAACATTTCAAGAGGAGAAGTTTGGTTGTGTGAAAGAAGGGGGCACATCTGCATAGGATATCTAGAAAGTAGTCTTTTAATAAATGACAATCACCCGTTTCCAAACAGGGGTTTAGTACGGTGAGAAGTTTTTTAGATGATGTATTGCAACAAAAAATATGCGTGTTCATTTTTTCTTTCTTACAACATTTCCAACGGCGTTAAAATAAAGAATTAAGAAAGGAACATTATTGATGGGGAAACTTTCACTCGGTTGGTTAAACTGTCGATCAGAGATTATTTATTATAACAAAGCCGACAAGCGGATTCTGCGATTTCTAAAGTAGCCATGCGCCTGAAAGCCCGCTGCCATCCACCATGGTGCTTCTTCCTATTTTGGATATCAATTTGTAAAGTGATGGTCAAAACGATTTTTAAAATGCACGAGGGTACACGATACGATTAGGCAACATAAATTGATGAGTGAAATAAGGCAGAGTGGAGAAACCGGATGGAACGTATCCTGTGGTAAAACGAGGTAGACCGAAGTCCAAGCTGGCCGCTACCGTGTATTCTTCGGTCATTCAATGAAGAACAGCTTTTCTAAATGCCACTATTTTATCAGTTACTCACTTTTGCTTTTTGTTCCAGCAAGGTGAACGGTTATTAGTAATGGTCAGGTGAACTGTAACCCTAAGCAAGTTGTGAAGATCTTCAGTAACCACTTTGCTTCCTCGGTTATTAATGAGAGTAATGTATTCGGGCTGCAACGGTCAATAGTACCTTCCTTTAGGATCGAAAACGTGTGGAGACTGCATACAATTATGTACAAACTACGTCAAGTATAAGCAATATTTCCTTTTCATCGTTTCTTTTACACATTCTGTACATTATTCCTAATACTTGTAAAAACGAATGTTGTTTATATACAGACCTTTTTGGTTGTGGTGGTAATTGCGTCTTTTGCTGCTGCTAATCGTGAAAATATAACGTGCTTCTAACCATTCCGACTTCTGCCTCCGTGACTATTGCCTGTCGTGCATAATAACTGATTGTCTTGGGAATTTACAGGACTTCTCATCCTACTTCCAAATATTGCTACAATCAAGCCGACCGACAACCACAAACGTGAGTTTTGCCGTTCAAAGTATTTCCGCGGCCGTTAACACGCTAGAACTTTTTTTTACCGATGGTCTAGATGTGATACCTGCTGTTGTCCTTGAAAACGGAGGTGAAGACATAACTCTGTTACCTTCGAAGTTAGCTACCGCGTCGCTTAATAGTTCGTGCTACCCCTCCATCCGGAAAACTGCCTATGTCATTCCCTCTCATGAATCCGAACCAGCTGCTTAGCGGTGTTTTCCGTAATGATGCGGAAAATTATGAATAGTGCTGTGGATTATCTATCCGACGACATCTTATTATCGACTTCGCAGCACGGGCTCATAAATGCCAGATCTTGCGACATCTGCATGCTAGATTACCTTTAATATCTCACACAAAGGCGTGACCAAGGCCTTTTTGTTGCTGTGTTGTTTTTCGACTTCAAGAAAGTACTTGACAAAGTACATCCCAAGGACTGCTCGTGAAGTTTCAGTCGTTTGACATGGAAAACCCCCTACATAACTGGGTCAAATCACCTCTTGATGAACGCTCTCAGGTAGTTAAATTCTACGATTGCTTTTCAGACCGTCTATCTAATGTACAGCTTAACATTGTACACAACAGTCATTTCGCATTACCAAAATGACCAAACCTGTAAACTGGTTTGTATCCACGTAACCTGTGTTGTATGAAACATGTATCATTAATATTATTAAGTGGTATGGTACAAGGAATTGTTCTTGGTCCGGTTCTCTTTCTCATGCGTATTATTGATGTATGCAAGCTGGTTAGACATGGAAAACCATATCTTTATGCTGACAACCTTAAGACTGTTTACAGCTTCCAGTGAGGCGCAATTACTGGAGATATGTCAGCAGCTCAAGCAGATTTAAATAATCTGCCTCAGTGGGGTCAGAAACGGCAACTTGGATTCAGCCGTGGAAAATGTGGAATGCTAGGCCTCGGAAAGTAATATGCTACCAGCACGCTAGGCTTGAAAGATCACGAAATTCAAACACCCAGTAAGCCATGCAATATGGGCGTCCGATATTCTGGTAACCTTAGCTTCAGTGAGCATGTCTGTCGGTGCATTTTCATAGCATGTAACATGTTTTATTATTTGCCCCTTGTTATCAGTACTTACATGTAAGTACTCTGCAACACCATGTTGTTTCGGTGGCACCTATGTGGTGATACTCATCAGGCAACACCATGATCATCCACCGTGACTAGATAAAGTGTGGTTACCATCTGAGAAAAAACCATGAACTTCACTTAGATGTTTACAACTTCATCGAATGTTTGTACACAGGTACAAAACAAGTGAATACCTTGTCCAAAATCCACTAATCTCTCCACTTCGTAGAGATATCTTCGGCTTCAGACTAATTTTCATTACCGTCGTGCGCACCTACATCTCCTTCCGCCTGAGCTTACCTCTAAACAGTTGGTTTTGGATACCCCTTCAAGTAAGTCTTGTGGTCAGTACAAAGAACTCACCCAGATGTATCATGGTTGATCTACTCCTGCATATTTTTGTGCTCCTGTTTCGAACTTCGCTCGCTGCTCGCTTTTGTTACTCGCTTTTCAGGTTTACCTAACCAGTCCCGCGTTCAAATGGAGTCCTAGATATCGCATTTGCCAATGTGCACCTTGCCATCAAAACCTTATGACGGACGCACATACCCCAAGGTCATGGCTGTGGTGTGGCCCCACCTTTAAGAATATTGAAAGATTCAAACAATAACCGAATAATTCCCAATTTCCGACTGAGCCTGCTTCAACACACCTCTTGTATGCCATGAATAACGGTATCTAATGTATAGCTTCACACTGTACCTAATAGTCATTTCTCACCACCAAAATGATCAAACCTGTAAACCGGTTTTGTATTCACGTAACCTATGCTGTATGAAATATATATATACATGTGTAATCATTATTATTATGTCACAGCTATCGTCCTTCAAGCTAGAAGATCATCAGGCCTCCTTCTGAAGGGTTTCTCCACAAAAGGGGTTAGGCGTGCTTTTTTTAAAATTTTGTGTTAGACCGGTAGGGAAATGTGGATCACTCTTTTTTGTCATGAGCAAAACTGGCGATTCACGACTTGAATACGTCCAAAGGAGTTTCACCAGTCGATTATCGAATAGCCCTGGTAATGTAAATTGTATGGATAGGCGCACTATTTTGGACATTGCTGTGGAAAAGGCGTTTAAGAAACAACTAAGTTCTCCTGTACAAAACCTTGCATGGCCCATCATACTGTTTTTCCCCGCCTGCTTAGAGACACTCACCGCCGTATGGCTTTGGAACTCATACAATCATGTTGGCAATAGATGGATGCAACAAACAGGCCAGGTGGAAATCCTTTACTATCTGTTGCAGCTTGATCCAGGATAGGCCCCTTGTGACCGTGCGCATCAGCACTTCCTTGTCGCAGTTCGAGCGCCCTGTTAACTCGCTTTTGGGTCAAGATTATATCTACAGTCCATTTGCAGATAGATGCCTTACAACAAAAGCACTCGGAGATGGCTCTGTAGGACCCTAGTGCCCCCAAAAGTAGTGAAATCGACTGTAGCTTAAGAGCAAATGTGAGCGGGATCTCCTTCTAAGTATTATTTTCTGAAGTAAGTGGCTCTTAATTTGGAATGGTGAGAGCTCTATGTATCCGGCTGTTTCCCCTTCGTCGCTCGACCTGCATGGTCGTAGTGTGGTGGCCCATGTGGTGGACGGGATACTCGCCTGACTCCAAACGATGTTCAAATCCACTTGTTTGTATTACTGGAAGCAGCCTGTCCCCATAATGTCCCGCAAGCGCCTCTATATCAAATTGTCTTATTTTCTGCACGCTAAGGCTCCCATTAACTCATTTCTTCACGCCAAAATTCATTACATATTCAATGGTTTTTACATACTCCCGTATGCATGACGTTTACTCATTCCTTATCTCCTAGATTCTTGCTCAGACATGTCGATCGATATGCACCGTTGTTCAGACAAATGGTTCCGACGCTACACTGCGTTTATCGTGCATTAACAGGCATTGACTACCATCTCACTATAGTTTATTATTGATACGACACCTAATTTTTGTGCAACAACTCCTAAATCTGCACCTGAGTTCTTATTCTTTAATTATTCTGACTTAAGCATGCGATAAATTGTTCCATACCCGAGTTTATTTTTCCTTCTGATAGACAACCATACAATGCAACCTCTGCAAAACAATAATTCTAACAGTCCAACCCTACTTTATGGCACCATTTAGGATTGTATCCGGAAATATTGGCACTAAGTGCTGCCTGTATTCAAACATCCAGGTTCCTCGACCAAAAGCAGCCACTCACTCCATGGTGAAGAAAGCCGAAACTGACTTCATATGATGTGATGACCTTGAAGACACATTGAATAGTTTTGTGATGAAACCCTGCACATCATGGGCCACCAAATGGCGTCAGCTCCTCGAATGAGCTACAACTTTAGCCTAAGTTATTACAGCGAGTACGTTCTCAATAAGGTGTTCACGACCAATCGCTGTATAGTGCATGATACCATGTGATACCGATCAAAACCTATCATCAGCTGCAACCTGAATTTGAATCTAGTTTTACATGCCCCCTGTAAACGGCACAAACTCATGGAGTATTCTCATTTTTTCAGGTTTATAAATGCTTGGCATCCGATATGCTATGTACTTCTACTTTTTGTGTGATTCCCTAGCTGATTTGTTGAGGCTTAATCACATTTGGGAGGTTAAAGCTCCTACCGGGTGACAACGACTGCGTTAAAATTCACTATTGTTCTTAGGCCAAACAGCTATCATCTAACATTTGTGACCAGCAGAAAACAAACAATCTTGTCCACTGGCAGGCCATGTAAGCTATAACGATTTATTTCCTTCAAATATTCTCAGACCCAAAAGCAACAATAACCTTCAGATATTCCGCCTTAAACCGGCATGTATTCGTAGAATTTAATATTCAAGAAAATTGTTGTTAACATTATATTGGGCGCCTTGGCTTATTAAAAGTCAAAACTTGTGGAAGTCCATGAAGATTTCGAAAATTAAATCTAACTGGTTTCAAGGACTTCAATGCGCATTAGGCAAACCTACACATTAGCGATAACGCCCAAATTCCAAGCTGTACAGCTAAAGTTGCAGGCGTTTATTTTGATACACATAAATGCATACATCGTCATGTCTACAGAAAAGCAATGACTTTTAACTAGAAGAAGACGTAACGAAATAAAATGTACAAATTAGGCATTAGAATGCAATATGTACAACATAGATTTGAGTTAGTATGGGCTAGAATAATAGCCCCCATTTTCCCGTGCACCGTATCCTTTACTGCGATCACGTGGATTACGTTCAGCAAACTTTCGTGGGTATTCACCGTCCATCTAAAAGTCAACCAAAAAGAACCGGTAATGATTTCCAAAACGACATCTGTGACAATCATATGAACAGCGAATGTAACCCTTCTGTAAGGTTTTGGCGAATAGCGCAAGTAGACCACTACAGGTTGGTCACTGTGCTCAACAAATTCACTCTCTCGTGCAAACTCAGTTTGTCTGGGAGGCTAGAAAAATGACCAAAGTGCTGCTACATTCCATTTAGTGCCGCCATCTCAATGAGATAAGGACCAGCACATGTTCAAATTAACACTTCTAAGGAGTGGTAGGGAGCAGGAATAGCCAACTTGATATCAAGATTCCGGTGAGTAGCTTTAGTAAGCAGTGGAGGTCACGTGCCCGAAAGCAACCACTTGGTGTGACTATCTTGGAAGATCTACGTGGACCTTGGTGTTATTCATTCGACTGAACACCACCAGCGGGCATATATTCGCGTTCTAAACAACTATAGAACCCTCAAGAATACTTCCACCAGGAAGTTAGCCACACGGAATGATCTTCCTATAGGTCTCCCAGTTAAGCTGCACGTCAGCCAATATTGTGGAAATGCATTTGATGCCCAAATGTAGGAAATCGTTTCTTAACGTATGTTGACAGTCTTTGAAACTTGACCGTAGTGAAATTGCAACAGAACCGTTCGAGTTGACGATAATCGTATGGAAATTAAAGAGACTGAAACAATTCTACAATGTACTGTTTCCTGTTTACCTTACCAAAGTCACTGGCGCACGCACAACCAACGGGAGCATGTTAGAAAAAAGTGAGCGTTTCACCTGCTTTACTACAGTTGGCATACGAAGATTCAGTTCATCAGTGATGACAGATACCACTGCGTTATTACTGTAGGTCGAGCATAACACAATAATCTTGACGTAACTATCAAGTTCCAGTTGCCCCTGAAATATTTCGTACTCCAGCAAACAGTAGTTTGTTGATTGGTTCCTCTGAAAGTCAGTCCCGTGAACACAGAGATATCACATTTCTCCAACTCAAGTTGATACTTTAGTTAATAACCACCCATAAAATCCTGCTGTCCAGATGGGATTTTTTTCAGTGACTAATTACTGGGATAAATCTACGCCACTCTTTGAAGACGCACACTGGGCCGTAGCTAATTGCGGGGCTAAACGAAGGGAGCAAACGGATATCCATCCATCATCGGTTTTGTAATACGGGTAAGGAACAACTTTCCACCTTAAGTTACCAGCCCACTAGCAGAACATGAAACATTCATCTCCCCCTAGGTCGTCAACAGGCGGATGTGAACCTTCAACAAACGAATGAGAGCATTACTAAGACATATTCCTAGAGCAGTTGTGGGAGCTGCTGAGTCCCAAACAAGAACGAAACAGCCGTGAACGCTATTCCCTTGCATATTTTCGAATCAAACCCTCAGGCCACTGGACAAGTCAAACTCCTCGTCAATCAGAGGTCACGCCACAGCGGTAAACCGCTGCCGCAGTTCAGAGGGTTTCACCCACATTTACTCGGCGATACTGTGAACCGTAGTTTTCGATATGCACCTGTCTCAGGAACCAAAGATTGATTTTATAGCTTCGTGCAACCTTGCACCAGATGCCATTTTACTGACCAAGAAGACACGCCAGTTTCTTCCGCGGATCCCTCAGCAGTCAAGGTGAAATTACTAGTGCCAGAGGATGTGCTGCTGCGGGTTAGGAAGCCGTTGCTCCACGGCGGAACACTCATCTCATAAGCCTTGGGGACCCAAGGACTAGTGGTGAGTCCGACTCGGAGATACACCCAAAGGCGTTACTACCTGATAAATCTACGATACATTTCACCAACTTCCCGAAGAATCGAGCATTACATCAGCAACAACAGTACTCACCCTTGTTCCATTGCGACCCTGACCTCTAGCACGATAGGGCGCAAATCCATTGCTTCTGTAACCGTCCGAGTCGTCCCGATCACCCCGCATTCCGTACTCCCTAGGACTGCGACCAAATGGACGATTCGCAGCGTACACACTCCCCTAAAAATATTCGGACTTCAACCAAACGGACATACCTTTACCGGTCTTCTATCAGGTCCCGTAACATCTGAAGCCTCTACCCCTTTATCACCTTCAACAACGAAAAATTCAACTTCCTCGTTTTCTTGCAGTGAACGTTGCATCTTTCCCGGGTTGTTTCGCGAAATCGCGGTCTGATGCACAAAGATGTCAGTCGATGTGTCGGACCGTGTAATGAAGCCATACCCGGCTTTTACATTGAACCACTTCACCACTCCTCTTACCCTGTCGTCGGTCATTCTACGAGGTGCATTACGACTTCTTCTATCGCTCATATCAAGCTATCCTAGATTCCTAAAGAAGTCCTTGGTCACGGACTTCAAACAAGGCGCTCCAATGGACAGACTATGCTTCCATTTGCCATTTACCAAGCATTTAAACAAATAAGAATTCTTCGTCAAGGATAAGGATAGCTAATCAGCAGCTCATAATAATCCTTGCAGTACCTGATAGATTATTTTACCTCAATATCTTCCTGAAAGTGGTATGAGGAGGTGTGAATACAACGTGCTAGGGAGCAGCACTTCCTAACAACATATTTCTAGCATTAGGCCTCCAGCATTACACAATTTAGTCAATACTGTTGAGGCTTCAATCTGGTAAAAGTTTCCAGAAGATGGGACAGAGTAAACCTGTTAGCTTTCAATTCGACATCATCCACAAAGTACGCTGGGTAGTGTGAAATCAAGGAATGTGGTGGGCAATCCAGTTTTCTGTAGGAAACTAGGGCGATCCTCCGGATGTACTAGTGTTTTAATCTGGATTCAGCCTGGTATGCCCACGTAATATGAAGATCGGGGTTTCAAAACATAGATGGCCTCGTCTAATGAAGACCAAAGTAAAAGGGAAATCCCTAGGGACTTCCTCCTGAAAAGCAACTAATCTCTAACAGTCTCCAACTGCGAGAATGCAGTTGCACGTGAAGGAAATTTCATGTCGTCACCAATCTTTTGACCACTGAGCCTAACATACGACGGGGTCCGGAAAACCCACCTCACCGAGGTCTAACAGCAACTTTTAGTCCTTGTGTCGTGGTCGATATCAATTCCAAGTCCTTATGATCGATTAGTTAAGGCAGGATTATGGTGTTTATCGGGTGGTCATGCGGTTTGTCCCCTAATTACACTCCGACCGGCACTGACCTTTAGCAGTCACGCACCGGAATGTTCAAATAATAGTTCAGACCCTTCAGCATGAGAAGCTTGTCCTCAAAGTTACGCATGGCAGCCGAAGGCTCGTCTTCAGCTGCATATGTAAGAACTGGCGGCGTAACTGCACTACCTGTCTCAATAACATTGATTATGAAAAGAAGCAGAACCGACATCTAACCTTGAGACGCACGATTCTCGAGTGTTTCCCAAAACTATGAAACCCCATTCGCCTCAACCGTTACATTTCGATTCCTCATGAAGAATACTAACACAGGCATCAAACCCGCCTTGGGCGCCAATAATTTCGGGAATAAGTAAACATCCATGCAACCATTTCATTCAGGTGAATGTCTAAGTTCAAGCGTTTCTCACTCCTCAAGTGTTATCTTTCCCAAGCAACTCAGATTGTTAATACTGAAAACATTCGTTGTGGTGCAAGTAATTAAAGAATGGAAGAATCGTCGTTCAGCAGTGGTGAATACTACACATGTGTAAAACTTCATAGACTTCACATTAGGTTATGCAGCTTTGTCAAGTAGATACATTGGCTGTTAATTGACTTCCGTCAGATGGATTGATACAAGACAAAGTACCGGAGAAATCTGTTGCATAGCATCATTACAGGTGTGTGGTCGTCAGGTAAAGTGATCTCTCAGGTTTGACCGCCTATCCAGATTTCCGCTGCATTTGTCACGGACCGGAAATCTGAGACCAGTTATTGTGCTTGAGGTTGCGTATGTGGTTAGTCGATACTTTTTGATCAAACCGAAGCTCATAACTTTCTCGTCATGCTGGTACTGGAAAAAGAATAGACAAGAAAGCGCAAGGACAAGCTGGGAGGAGGGAAGGTCTTGTCTTTTTGGTTATTTGAACCACGCGTAAACGCTAATTTATGCATACAAGAGTGACTTCCTTTTTTATAATGGTAATAATATATATTTCATACAACATAGGTTACGTGAATACAAAACCGGTTTACAGGTTTGATCATTTTGGTGGTGAGAAATGACTATTAGGTACAGTGTGAAGCTATACATTAGATACCGTTATTCATGGCATACAAGAGGTGTGTTGAAGCAGGCTCAGTCGGAAATTGGGAATTATTCGGTTATTGTTTGAATCTTTCAATATTCTTAAAGGTGGGGCCACACCACAGCCATGACCTTGGGGTATGTGCGTCCGTCATAAGGTTTTGATGGCAAGGTGCACATTGGCAAATGCGATATCTAGGACTCCATTTGAACGCGGGACTGGTTAGGTAAACCTGAAAAGCGAGTAACAAAAGCGAGCAGCGAGCGAAGTTCGAAACAGGAGCACAAAAATATGCAGGAGTAGATCGACCATGATACATCTGGGTGAGTTCTTTGTACTGACCACAAGACTTACTTGAAGGGGTATCCAAAACCAACTGTTTAGAGGTAAGCTTGGGTGGAAGAAGTTCATGCGGGCAGTTTTGTCGGTAAACCTGAAGAGAATACTGACTGTGTATTTGTACTGCACAATCCGACCAGATAGACTAGCGATCAAACACCCTTTGTGAGTCCATCAAGGTAAAACGCACTTGAGATTTATGGTAGCCTTACTCTATACGTTTAGAGGTCTCAGTATGATTTCATCAGCCCAGAACGTGAGAACCTCAAATCAAATAAGTCACTGAAAGCAATCAAGCAAGAAAGTGGCTGCAACGCACAAACAGGCAGTGCTCAATCATTAGTGAGAATTCTTAAATCCCGTGCGACTTTATCCACAGCTATTCTCAGTAGGCCGGTCATTGATGGGCATTTTTATGATGACCCGGGCATTATCTGTGAGCTGTTTGGTAAGCACCACTCAAGCTGCTTCGCGCACGAAGATGGTGTACTAAACGTACAAATGTCCATTCCACCACACCACTCACTATGTAACGTTTCTTTTACACAGAGAAAGATAAATGATGCAGTTGCTTCACTAAGGGACTCATTCTGCCGAACCCGATGGGATCCCGTCTGTTCTTCTTAAGACGGGTGGTGAAGACATACCACTGATCCTGATGAAGCCATTCTCAATATCCCTTACTGAAGCATGCTACCCTGACCGCCGGAAGCTGTCTTACATATCCCCCGCGTGAAAATCTGGGCCGACGTCAGACATTCAAAATTGTCGTCCCACAAATATTACATCTGTAGTCTCTCATATCATGGAGAAGGTGGTTGTGTAAGAATTCAGTGATTACGTGCCTGCGCATTAGCTACTTTTCCCTATGCAGCAAGGTTTCTTAAAAGGTCGTCCATATGGTACTTGCTTACTGGATTATTTTGAGGAGGTCATCTGCAAACGAGATGAAGGACTTTTCGTAACTATTCTATTTTTTGACCTCATAAAAGTATTTGATAAAGTGCTTCATAATCGGTTAACTCTGAAGCTTCAATCATTTGGAATTAGAGACCCTCTATTGTCTTGGATAAGCTCATTCCTTAGGTAGCGTACTAAAATGGTAAAGTTCAGCCACACCTATCCCTCCCCACGGTCTATTTTGAGCGGCGTCATTCAAGGTAGTGTGTTGGGGCCCTTACTCTTCCTCCTTTACGTAAATGATATTCCTAAGGTTATGAAATGTGGTAAAGCCTACCTATTTGCTGACAGCTTGAAAGTTATACATGGCTTACCACACTTACCACCAATTGAGGGTTTTAATAGAATCCAGGAAGACCTGGCAAATTTGTTCGCTTGGAGTGAAACATGGCAACTTCCACTCAACTCTAGTAAATGCGGAATTCTCTGTTTCAGTATCTCTTATCCAAACGTCAGCTTAAACTTTGGCTATTCTGTGCTGCAATCTTATAACTCAGCATGTGATTTGGGCATTAGGTATTCTCGGAACTTAAAGTTTACGGAATATGCCCAGTCACTCGCCTCCAAGTGTAGGTGCTCATTTGGCCTTTTGCTTAAACACCTACATACCACGGAGCCAAGACTGCCTTTGTTCAAGGTGACGATCCACCCAGTACTTGAATATGGCATAATCATCTTCAGCAGTGTGTATGCTTCAGATAGGATACTAATTGAGGATGTTTAAAAAAGTTTACTCGCTATGTACTGGGCCGCCATGAAGAACTTGATTACGAGGGAAGGAGTAAGAAACTAAAAATTGACCCGCTTTGGCTAAGACGCCTTAAGCTCAACCTTAACCTATTTTTCCGCCCCTTGCATGGCATTACTCACGCCTGTTTTGCTCCTTACTTTCGAGCCTATTTCCTCACACAGTCTACGCAACCGTGAATGCACTGTACCCGCAGAAAAGCACCACCTTAAACTTAGGTCACGATCCTTTATGTTACAGTACAGCAAGTTAAGCAATAAGCTTCCACATTTTATTCGCTCTTTCATGTCCGCATTTCAGTTTCGGCCCCTACTCAACAATTTTTTTCTTTTAGCGGATATCTATAAAGTTCTTGACATTCATATTATATCCACAAATGCGAAGCATAATGGAGCAATCGACACATAACAATGGTCAAGCCACTGTGTCCACTGTGAACGTACTCGGACCTCTAAATGTGAGAATCGGTTTTATTAAGGCTCTCCAGTTCCTATAATGCAGATGGCTTTACGACTACATACAAGGGTGTGAATACTGGCTCCTTTCCGTATAATGAGCCTAAAGAATACTGTTTACCTCTCAAAGCCACTACGGCACGCACACACCCCAAGGAAAACAACTTAAGAACCTTATAATGGAAAGACTATGTAGTTGACTTCACATATATACATGAAAATGTTCATGAAGTCCGGATAATTAAAAGAGGAATGAGGACTTCTCTCTTCTCCGAATTTGGTAGCGTGGTAATTTCTCTTTCCATATCTGCTCGCGCTTCTTCTTTCTTTCCCCATTTGCAGAAACAGCGGCAAGTCGACATTTGATGTTCAAATTCGGTCTGAACGTGATTACTTTATGGGAATATTACCTGCTCATT